TAAGACAAGGTCATCTTTTTAATCTATGTGAGGCAGTGTGTTTGCTGAGTCAGCACTAATACCAATCAGTACTAAAGTAATTCACACAAATCAAATAATTCCAGCAAAGCCCAATGGACTCTTAAATCTGTTGGTTCTGCATCTTGGCAGAAATTGTGAGCATGGTGAAAAAGGAGCTGGGAAGTGACCTTAAAAACCTGAGCTCACTTTGATCTGCGCCGGCAACTTTAGTGCATTCTTTAGCGCATAAAGGCTGCTGTTTTTTGAAATTCTGAATATTTGATGTATACTCATAAACAGCCTATAGTTCCTGTAAAGAGTAGAGTCCGGTAAGTTTGTTCAAGTCTCCCAAGACTGAGCTAGTTTTCTTTTCTTGAAGGTTAATTTGGAATAAATACCTGGTAACCTGTCAACCAGTTTCGGCATTTGTTTGTTTCACTGCCCCTAATTGCTGTGTCCTCAATGCCGTCCGGTTACAGTTACATAATTGTCCGCCTAGTTTTAAAGCCTGGGTGCACATGAATGTTACGCTTTGTTCGGGTTCAACCCAAATACCTGGCGGAGATGGATATGCAGGAGTACAAAAGGCCATCCAGCAGGAGAGCCGCTGGGAAATGGAAAGCCTCCTGATTAGCGCTCTGATCGAAATTGCTGCTGCGAAACCCAACTTTGGCAAATCCCAGAGCGGCTGGTCCGGTCAGCACCTCTCAAACTCCGTGAATGGAATCAGCACAACGTCCACTCGCACCTTTTTTTTAATGAAGCACATAAAAAAAACGGGTGATATGAATAAGTATTTCTTTCAGATAACAGCTGCAGCCGGTGTGTGCTCCTCCCGTGAGACGCGTCTGCACGAACGCTCGACTACCATTATGCACGTTCTCAACCGCAGGACTTTGAACAACATCTACTTTGACACGTTGCTTATATCTCATCATATCTTTCAGACAAATGCAGCATTGTTACGCCCACGGCCCGGGCAGGCCTGCTGTGCGGAGGGTTCTAAAACCACACCCCTGCAGCCACATGCGATCCAACTCAATCAATTCTTCTTTCACATCTCACACACACACACACACACACACACACACACACACACACGTGATGCAATAATTGCCCGCAGACCTCATGCAGATGAATGTGAGCAGTACTTCTGTATCCCGCTGTTCTCCATTATAAATAGCCTCTAATGAATCGCTACTTTCCAACCGACCCATCTACCTTTGACATGAGTTATGCGCCATTGTTGTACAGAGAGCTGCCACACTGCCAGGAAGCATCAGCTTAATCTTATTTCTCCACAGCTCTGCATGTTGCACTGAGATTGCACGGAGGTGTTGAAGTTTAGCAGTTTTCTCCATCTACCTCTCGCTTTGTTTGTGGCTGCTGATTTGGTTGCGCTCTTTCTTCCCTTAAAAAAAGTAGGGTTTCTTTATTTTCACTTTAAGATTTAACTTTAAGCCTTTATGTGGCTGCGTAAACTGTCAGATTCCTTTACCGATGGCTCTGCCCCCCGTCACAAAAACATCCAGTGTCACATAATAGATTCTGGATCCACTATAATTGCAACATCCTGTTTCCCCTTTTGGAGAATTTGTTGACGTACAGATGAGAATGATGAATGTCACGTGTAAATGCCGATAACTAATACGGTCATTTTGACAACGGTGAGGCAAAATGTTTTGTCATGAATATCGCACTGGGTGATGTCGTCTTCTGATGGAGACGGTGAGCAAATGCACGGCGACACAGATGCACACGGGCGGCATTTTTGAGGTTACAAGCAACGCACCCGGGCTTTATACCAACGCCAATCAAACACACTTGTGTCCTTAATTTGCTAATAAGGGAAACTGACAGGGAGGATTTTGGAAGCGTCAAACAAAGACACTGCTGTTTCCATCCTGCAGAACTCAAAAGTAAACCCACACATGCTGTACATGCCAGCTGCTGTGGTTACAATACCGTGCTGGTGAGAATTTAACATTAGGATTTATCTTTCTGGCATCAACACATGATGAGAATAATGAGAATATAAAAACGGGGCTGAATGAAACAATATGTTGTTTGTTCTGCAAACTGTTTTGAAGCTGCGTGGCTACAGATGGTGAAAGAACCGAAGCTGGAGATGAAGAACACAAGATGTAAAAAAAAAAAAAAAAAAAACTCATTTAAATGCAAAAAAAAAGGTAACACTCTCACTGGTATAATGCGTTTAATGGCAAGTCGGCCTTGAAATCCTCAAAACAAACAGCAAAAACAGATATTAAAGTGTGCAGCATTTGTTTACTATGTATATGTTATAGTTAAGTAGTATATGTACATATTGCAATATAAGGGTGAATGAAAATATACTTGGCCAACATATAATTTGTTGCACAGAACTAGGCAATCTTTCCAAAGAAGCAGCCACACAAACCCAGCTTTTAGTGTGCCAGTAAATGGAAGACTTGGACAAATTGCATATAGCTGGAATTACTAAGTACAAATAAACAGCAAAAACAGGCGTATTGGTGAAAAGCATTCGCACGATGGAGGAACATCACAGTTCGATCTGCGAGGCAGCTTTGAGGAGTTCTCATGAAATCACACAACAGGTTGAGTGAGCCGCTATGAATCCATTAGAAACAAGCAGCAGTAGTCTTACTCTAATTAAAAGACTGCTGTAACGTACAATTTTAATCAGATATCAGATGAAATAAGCTGGTTGATTGGAGTGTTTCACACCAGTCCCTCCAGCTGTCTGTTATTCGAGACGTTTTATTAATTGTAGCTTAATATATCTTGACACGATACATTAAAAAATTGAAAATTACGCTGCTTCAACTGCACATGAGAGCAGTGCAGAGCGAGGGCGAGGGGCGCAGGCTAATCAGTTGTGCACACACACGTTACATGAGTGTGCAAACAAAGCAGCCCTACATAATCAGAATGAGAAAATGTAACTGTTTATTAAAGAAAAAACACAATCTCAGCATGCGGTACGTCGACTGAGAGACTCTTCCATCGGCCTTTTTGAGGAACATGGATCTTTTCACATGCTAGATAATGATGGTGACACACACACACACAAAGTGAACACGAGGAGCCCGTCTGCACGGAGGATTTGCCGAGGCAGCACCTCACTCTCCCTTAAGGCCAAGTGGCAGGAGAAATAAGTGTTGTTTGAGATGAGCTTTCTTTCAGTCATTTGTGCTGCAGTGTGAAGACAGAAATACTATTACAGGCACACAGTGAGGTAACCGGAGGACGGGCTGCTGTTTGTTTTCCTCTCCAGACAGCGGTCACACGCACACACTTCTCTGTTCTACAGTGACTGAACTAAGACTCAAAAATCTTTAAATGTGCCGATGCGTTTTTCATGGATGCAACCTTTAATTCATGTTATTTGATTTATATAAGCTATTCATAATTCACCGGTAAATTATTTAAACACTTTTGTTCAGGTCCTTCAATGGTAATTGACTGGCGTCCAGCCGTGGAAAGCACAGCGGGAGCACTGATGGCAGAACAGCCGACTGGATCAACGGAACACCAAGACTGCCATCCAATGGTCGGATAGTGAACCGGTCCCCTAGAAACAGGACCGTGCACAGTCCCTGGAATAGGAGTTATTCTGTCCATTGCATTCATCTTACAGGTCGGGCACAATTCCACCGAGTCTGTTTCTCTTCTTTCTGTATAATGAAGGGCAGTGATGGTGCTTCATCACCAGAACATCCTCGTCCCCAACATTAGCTCGGCTATAACGAGGGTTACTCAGAGGACGGGGGCCCCTCTCTGCAGAATGATGAAAGAGCCGAGTTCGCGCCGGTGACACCGCATCGGTCATTAGCCTGGCTCACTTTGCCCCTTCATATATTTCTAAATAAGTGCCTTCCTGCGGGTTTAACGGACCACCTAATCTGCCTGCTTAAGAGGTGCAGGTGGAGAGGTGAACGTCAAGCAGGTAAATGTGCTTATCGGAGCCGTGATACGTTTAGCTCCTCTGGTGGCACGCTACTGGCTTTAAAACCTGGTAGCTTTCACATCAATCGGGGAGGGATTAGTGTGTTTATATACGAGGTATTCAGAAGATGCGGTGGCCATTAATGTCGCGGTTTTAAATCCCCACAGCAATTCTCCCTTTTTTTTTTAGAAAGGTGAGTGGTGGATTTAAGAATTCACCTCAGGTTTTCCCGTCTGATCAATACTTGTAAAAATACCATTCCCTCTAAGAGACCCGGAGGGGAGGGGGGCGCCCTATTCCTGATGGTGTTGAGATGCACAGGAGCCGCTGCATGGCTAACAAACAGGCGAAAGATGCGAGGGCAAGAGGGACATGGGAGTGTTGACACCACCAAAGGGGACTTAATGCAAAAAAAAAAAAAACTTAAACTTTTTAATTCACAAAAGAAAAAGCTATTTTTTAAGTTTGGAAAGGCCCTGTGCATCACGGCCCACTAACCGCTTTCTCATGTTTTGCCATTGAGGATACAATTTAAAGGAATTTATTTTTACATAAAAGAGGGTAAATAAACATTTTCAAAGTGATGAATGGTTCCCTTTGTCTGGGGATGCAGTCAACCCTGTTTTCAGGTTGTGAAATGAGTTTGAGCCATTCACCCCCCCAATCCCACCCAAGGGTTCAGAAATGGGAGTCCAAGACTGGTTCATCTTCAGGGGGACATTACACACTAATCCTGCCATGTAAGATACGCCTATAAGGGTTTTAAAACCCAACAAAAACAGCCCGCCGGTGCTCTTTTCCAGATGGCAGAGGAACAATCAATGCAAAGTGAGTAAGTGGGCCACAGAACGCCCCAAGGGGAACAACAAATGACAACTATAACATTTTTACTTCAGTGGTTAATGCCAAAGTAACTGTTCCATTCCTCCCCCGCCAGCCAGCAGAGGGGGATATGCAGCAGTGAGTGAGTCAGGTTCGAAAATTAAATTAAAAAGCAAAGTTAGGATCGCTCAAGGTGACGTATGAATAGGTACAAAATAATGTCCAGAACTTACAAAGAAAAAGCATTTATTCGGCAACACGCTATCTGTAGTGAGTGAAAAGCAGAATCAGGAAAAGTAAAAGGGTTACAAACACCGGTAGAAACATCTTGTTCACTGTAGCACTTGATTAAACAGTCAAGAAGTTGGCACCTTCTTCAAAGCTTCACTTAGACACAGAAAGATAGTTGGTGACACACACACACACACAAAATTTAGTTGGCACAAATTTATATCCCCACACGAGGCATAAAGTCTCCTTAGGTATTGGCAATGTAGTGCATGTTATTAAAAAGGACCACGGTATAAAAAGACTAATAAGTAATTGATTATAACGCCATCGTGCACCAAGAACCACGACGGCCTCCTGGATTGTCGGCGCCCGTCTCACAGTACAGACTGGAGATTTCAACGTGTCAAACGGGAAGTCGTCTGCCGTGCGAGAAGGTTGAGAAGGATTACATGAACACACGGACATAAAGATCAGTGGCAACCACATGGCGACCTTTTCACAGCCTCAGGATATCTGACAGTCAATGGGTTATAATATGGACATGAAGCGCCGTGAGCACGGCGACAAACCACCTCGTCACAAATGTGTTTTACAGTCACATAAGATATTACCAGCGGTCCTCCTGGACAGCTGCAGAGAATCTTTTGGGTGGATTTGCAGATATCAAGAAGGGCCGATGGTGTAATAAAATAACCCCGTTGGACACACGTTCTTTTGTGGTCAGACGATTATAAACCCTTGGATGACCTAAAAAATGAAAAAAATAAATGTTTGAAGCTTCCGGTTTCACGTGCTCTCAAGGTGTAATGACGAGAGTCTGGACAGATTAGTGAATGAGGCCAACATCTTCAACAGACATGACATAAAGAGTCATCGGACACGATTACAAAAATGACAATACAGCAGCATTTGAGTTTCTTGTAAATTGATGAACAGAGATTCGAGGGATACGACGCGGTTAGAATTATGCAGGTTAAGATTCATAGCCGGTAAAGAAATGAATAGCACTGTAAATTTGACAAGAGACTCATACAATTCAAGCGTAAAACACACTGAAGGGCCGGGTACTCGCTGAGTCGGAACAGTGGAGAACGTCTCGAGCAGCAACGTTAGTGTCAGTGGCAGTTTGGTCGCTGGCTCACGAGGAGCCGCCGAGCGAGTCACGACAGTGGTCATTTTCCAATGAAACTCACACAACTCACATTTCATCCATTAGAAAACAAAACAAAGGGGTTGCGACTTTTAGAAACACTAAACTAAACCCAGCTATATTTAAAAAAATAATAAAAATCAATTTGAATTTGAATGACCGTAGAAAGGACGCCCCTCCCCCCCCAAACTTATTGTGGCTTTTTAAGGTCCATGACGAGCTCAAAGTAAACAACATCTTTCTTTGAAGCTCTTCTTGTTCTTTTTGTTTTTTCCTTTTCCGTTTTTGTCTTTGTTTTCTGACATTTTCTTGCCCCGTACTTCACGCATTAGGTCGAAGAATACCTGCGGAGAAGAAGAAAAAAAGAAGAAGAATGAAATCACCTAAGAACACTACTTTAAAAACACCTAAGCGATGGTGACCCTTCGCTACGCGCGATGACTCACCTTGTCGACGTTGGCCCTGGTTTTGGCTGACGTCTCGACGTACTGGACGCCCCACTCCTCGGCTTTCCCCCGAGCTTCGTCCACCGATACCTTCCTGCGCTCCTCCAGGTCAGACTTGTTGCCCACCACGAGCAGAGGGATCTTGTCCTCTTCCGCCTTCACCCGCAGGATCTGCTCCCTGTCGGCACAGCATGGATTACTCATTTTGGGGTATTTTCACCAGTTGTCCTTTAGTGAGGAAGTAACTGATCGAAACAGATTTCCGGTTGCCCGGTTAGTGCCGCGCCTCATGAACCACGCAAGTAGAAAGGCGTCCCTCTTCCAAGACCTCAGGGCCTTTGGTTTGAGTTATCAAGCTAGCGGGTGTTAGCCTGCTTTGACGAGTCACGGCTCTAGCTAGTTGGCTAGCTTTAGTCTGTAAGCTACACCGCTAGCTGGCTAGCTAGCAAATAGGGACAGGGCTGCACATCCCCATGAATAGAACAGTTAGATTTTATAAAAACTGATTAGCAGGTTATTTTGTTATGTATAATTCCTTCTTTTTTTCCACGTATTCGTGTAGTCAGAACAAAAATATAGTTCCTCAAATTGTGGACCGAATGTGTCAAATAATGATTCCTCAACAGACATAACAACTTTACTTGTCGTTCAGCAACCTGCATTGACTGAGCTTCGTCAGTATTCGGTTCATACTTAGGACTATTTAAATCCACACTGACACTCCCCAAATATTATGCAAATCAGTCAAAGCAAAGCTGCGGTGCAGGCCACATTTTGTAAATGCAGAACTAATAAACAATTTCCTCTCCTGGATTTGCATTCTAATTTAGGACATGGAACTGGGATTAGGTACAAAAAAAACCCCAAAAACTGTACTTCATAAGAGCTTGTTGGGGAGCCGACCTGGTAAAAGATTCTATGGAAGGAAATCACAGCCAAATCTATCGGGTCAGCAACAGACGACATGTAGCAGCTGGTATATAATGGATGGCCAATACCCATTGCAACAGGTGCACCATCAACGTCTGTTTGGCTCCTACACAAGTACCTGAACTCCACGGTGGCTGAGAAAGACTCTTGCTCGGTGATGGAGAAAACCAGCAGGAAGCCCTCCCCGCTGCGGAAATAGTTGTCCCTGATGGCAGCGTAGTCCTCCTGGCCGGCTGTGTCCAGGATGTCGATCTGGACCTCCTCCCCGTCCAGAACCACCTTCTTCCTGTAGCTGTCTGCCTTTGTGGGCTCGTAGTCCTCTACAAACTGGTGAGGGACAGACATTTCTTTCTTTTTTTTTTCATGCAAAAGGGCAACTTGCATTAACATGCATAAAGCATCAGATACGTGTAGAGTATTGTGTGTGTGTGAGAGAGACAGCCACAAGTTAAAAAAGAAGCCTGTCTAAGCCATCTAATGGGCCGCGGACGCATGACACGAGAAAATTGCAGCCGATTACGCTGCTTGGCAGGAGAGCCATCTGTTACCGTCTCTGGCTTAAAGTGAGTGTTGTTACAGAAAAAAACATCTCCGGTAAAGATAACAATGGACCCAAGAAAAATGCCCTTTTACACAAGAATCCCTGTTAGCCTTTAAAAAGTGTTGTAGCACCTCTGTGGTGTAGATGCCACTGCTGTTCCCTCTAATCAAGTTCTTATTTTCATGGAACGGATGGCAGCTTTTCTCAACCATTTTTTGCAATTGTTTCTCATTAAAGCTTTTTATTTGTGAACCAATGAAGGGAAGGCTTTATACTTGAAGCTGTCAGAGGAAGTGCGGACGCCGTCAACATATTAAACGGCGGTACTTATCTAGATAAGGACACAGGACAGAACATTTCTAAAAAAAGTGAACTGGTTAGAAGTGACCAGTGCTTACTGGGGAAGGCCGTACTTCTCTATCGTGTGCATTGCTGATTTAGGCAGTGGGCAGGGTGGGGGGCGTTGACTCACCTCGTCATACATGAACTGCAGGGTGAGGGCCGACTTCCCCACGCCTCCACTTCCCACCATTATCACCTTGTGCAGTGCCAGAGAGCTCTGGTTTTTACTTTTACCGGTCGCCATCACTGGATTCTTCTTTGTGTTTCTTCCACACGCATACGAGCGCACACTCCCTCTGCAGCCAGACACTCAGAACCTGTGAACGGAATAAGTCAACGTATTCAGTAAATAACCTCCAGAAGCGCGAGGACAGATGACGGTTACTCCTCATATTCCTGTGCCAAGGCGCCTGGCTTCTCCCCCTTCCCGTCAAAGTGCCAAATTGCCTAATCATGAATCCTATAAAGTTTGCCACGAAAAAAAGGTTGTTTCGGCCGCTCGGAAGTAATGGAGCCATCGTCCTCTACAGCGGGACGTCATTTAGGGATGCATTAAAAACAGGGCATCATGTGCTAACCTTGTTTAAAAGAAGAAGGGGGGACGTCAAGGGGCATCTATCGGCACTATATGGGCCCCGCCCTGAGAAGGTCAAAGCTCAGAGCAAATTGCTTTCACCCGACTTCCATCTCTGTCAGAAAAAACTGGCTGCCATGTCGTAACCTGCACAGCCTTCGGACAGAGACGAAATGAGTGTCACGTGCACGCAGAAGGCAAGTCGCAACAGGTCTGTTACTAGAAGTGATCCGTAGAGCGGTTCAGGATTAAAGTGCCGCGGTCGGCCAACCGCAGCAGTTAGCAAGAAACTTGTTTACTGAAGAAAAAGCCCATGAGATCTTCCCATATTTTGCGGCGGCAGATAATCTTCACAAATGAACAGCACTTTGCTTATTATGGACTGGTGAACGAAACCGGCAGAAGGAAAAAGCTTTGTTATGCTTTGAATTTAAATTAAAGCGTAATATCTCCTAAGCGAGTCTTCAATTTATGCATGTAACCCAAAAAGAAAAAGGAAAAAAAGTTTGTTCCGCAAAATGGACTGTGTGCAATTATGGGTTAGTATGAAACACACAAATATAGAAAGAAAGATTAAATGGAGATGGATTTAAGAAGGACAAATACACAGAATTTTGCAACATAAAAATGTTTTGATGAAGGTAAAAAATTGTGCATAAAAGTATTTTGAGCCCTGAAAAGTGGTGGAACCTCGGTTCAAATTCAACTAACAAAACACGTGCGACCACACACACACCTAGATCGACTTGTGTGCAGTCGCCTCCCTGGAAAAAGGCGACATATCGAAATAATACAAAATGACCAAATTCCCATTGGGGAAATGTTCCAACTGTGTTCAGCACACACGGTTGTTATGGCTCCACCCGAGTCAACAGTAAGCAAGCCGTAATCAAGCACCCATCTCGCAACCAACTACCAACAGTCAAATACGCACCCGAGCAGCTGGCGATAATGTCAACAGATCGGCGGTAAACGTTCACTGTGTATCCGGAAGAAAATTGTCGGCCAGAAGACTCAAAGCCGCCGCATCGCGGGCGCCGAACTTTCGCTTTGAAAATTGTTTCCCCATATAATTTCACCTGGGTCTGAAAATATCCTTCCCATCGCTCGGTATGTCACACCAGTGGCAGCTGATTCATGGCGTTATTCACAAGGTGCTCCTTCCCAGCAGTAAACACTTCATACGGAGGGTGTGTGCCGACAGTTAACAAGGCAGGAGGAAAGAAAACGTTCCTGCTGATGGCAGCAGGAAAAAATAAAAACCTATTTTACATTTCGTTTTTTCTTTTACATGTAGAAATAACTTGGTATCCTGAAAGATCTCCATATGGTTTCCAGCAAGCATCTACAAACGCCTACCTATTTGGATACGAATGTGCGACTTGCGCCCGTGAGCTTCTTTGCGTGGACCAAACGCAGCAGAGAACGTGTGGTTTGTATCAAACGAACCTGGACTTACGTTTGCCATCTATAGTGCAGTGGATCCTGAGGATGTGGCACCAGGCACCCACTGTTTCCAACGAGGAAGTCTGACCTGTGCCCTTCCTGTCTTTGTTATCAGTAACCAGACCAGTGAAAGGAGCCACGCAAAACCGTACACAATAACACACCTACTGAGAGAAAGTAACCATTTAAATTATTCACTCGTAACCCACTTCTCTGTGCGCATGCACACTCATGGATCCTAAACACAAAGGAATCACAGTTTATAGACAGGTAGTGGGGGAAAATATGTTTTTACAAAGTGCTTAGTACAACTTTTCCAAGGAAAGTTCAGACCTCAGGGCAGGGAGAGGGGGGTGGAGGGGGAGGTTCTGCCATATTTCCACCAGCTGCAGTTCACAAGTAGCTTGAAGCGTTGTAATGGAAGCCACGACGGGGAAAAGTACTCGATATTCAGGCATGACCTAAATATGGAACGAGTCTGATGGGTACTGGTCCTCTGTTACGAGAGGGGTGTATATTCATGGAGACGGAGGGATTCAGTCGAAAACACCACTCTGGTTGCTATGCTCCTTAAATATAGATGGCACAGTGTGTGTGGACCATAAGAATTCATTAAGAGCCCGGTTGGAGAATGGGGCCAGTGTTCCCTCTCTGCTCATCTTAACACTTTGGCATGAACGCTACTAAAAGAGCACAGCAAGCAGAGAGAGACACCATCTCATGTGAAGGCCCCCCGGCCTTGCAAATAGTCCATTTACCTCAGCAGAACCTCCAATAAACCATGCACTTATTTGACCCGACTAATTAAACTGGCATCCAGTGCAAAAATGTAGTCAATTAACAGTCATATTCTTAAGAAATTGAAGAAATGGGGACTGCTGTTCAAATATATTCCCTTTTTTTTAATATATATCTCCACGTGTTCAGAAAAGTGGAGCTCTCAACCATCCAGTGTGCTCGGTCATTGAAATCTGTTTCACATATGCATAAATAACAAAAAGAGAATTAAAGAGAAAATTCAACATAATGTACCCTGATACAAAAGGTTCCACTGGGTGCCGTGTAGAATGAATCCAAAATGATGCAAGAAATCTGAGCCAACGTTGCAGAGACCCTGATGACCCTCTCTCTGCATTCCTGAGGACACGGGGTGAGGGGATTTCCTCTCCTTGACTGATGGAGAAAGCGTGGGGGGCTTTTCGGGCCCTTAAACATCCCACCACACTCCATGGACATGAGAATGAGATCAGCTCGGCGTGGCCGTTTCTCTCATCACTTGGTCCACTTGAGTCAGAACTCGGGTGGGTTCAACAGAAAGGCTGTGATGTCGCACAGACGTTACAGGACGCAAATGTCACTTGAGGGGAGATAATTATGGGAAAAGTCAACTCAAAGATGTTAACACACTTCTGACGGATTCCCCCGTGATTGTTTAGCTGGCGGTGACACGCTACTTCCCCTCTAACGCACCAGCTGCAAAACTCTTGCCGTGTCCGTTGGGCTGAAACAGTTCTTCATTTATACTCGAGAGATAAGAAATGTGACAGTAGGAAGAGGCAGAAACCCCACTGGGCTCATTTTAAACCTCCACCAAGATCATATTAAATATCCCATTATTACATTAAGATAAGATATTCTTACAGGATACGATATATAATAATATCCACATTGCTTCTGGATAGCTACCTTCATTAAATAGTCATCATCACAGCTCACTGTATATAATCTAGAGAAGTAACCTCAGTCATGAGGTCTTTTTGAGAATCAGTCTTCTGCAGCACACATCACCAGGGGTTAGATGCACTTTGTTCATCACGGATCAACCAGAGATGGACAATTAAACAGAAAATCACAGCGAGGAGTTGTACAGACGCAGTCGTTGTAAAGGCCGCTGCCAGTGAAAGTTAATCAGTAAACTTAAACAGGACGGTTTACGGCAGCAGAGAGGACATTCTCAGAAAGCCACCGACAACGCATACTAACAACCCTCGGCCAGGGGGACGCACACAGGAGCCTTTGACTGAATCCTCTCCGTGGTACAAGGCTTCCTACTTCAGTAACACCAAGAGTGGCCAGAGTAGTTAAAGAAACATTTTGCCCTTTTTTTATTACTCTGGGAATCAACCAGAAGCTTCAAATAAAGTCAAATCATCTGTGATTTCTTCCAGCGTTCAGCACTATACGAAAACCATGTGGGCATTTCATTTGGAACATTTAGAAAGGTGCCATATTGCAATACTGCCTGTATGGTTAGAGATATGACAGCAAACATATCGACATGGGTAATTTTACTTATGTCCCCTTTCTTTCTTCGTAAAGGGAGAAAAAAAAAATAGCTTCAAAAGAAATTAATGCTGGGATTGTTGTCACTTTCCTCAGTTGATGACAGCTCCTTTCACAGTACAATGGAGACACACAATGGCCATCACTACCATAGGCCCGATTCATACAATACGCTGACATAGATGAAAATAGATAAACCTCACTGTTGACAGGAAGCGATAGATGGCAGAGGCCAAGTATGCCTCGACAGAAATATCTCCTGCACATAAACACTGACGTTCTCAGACCAGTGGAAACGAAGCCTCACAAGTAGCTCAGCCCTCTCAGCGGATGGATTTCGGAGTCCTGTGCTATTACACACCGGGAGCCCAGGTCGGTTCGGGAACCTCGTCAGAAAATGAAAACCTGATCAGAAAAGCAGATGGACCGCTTTGCGTGCGTGATGGGAAGGAGGTCTTGCACAAAATACTTGTCAATTCTGAAGAGTCGCAGTAATCGGAAGAAACCAGAGTGATCAACACTAACAAAAACATTCAAGCCATTTTGTAGCAGAAGGATGAACATCCCATCCGCGATGGCGGCTATAAGGGGGGTGAATAGAGGGACAGCTGTGCAGCATTCAGAAGCCTTTCTTCACCTCCAATCTTTTGATTGCAATGGTCTCCAACTATGCAGAAATCTGTATTTGCCAGGATAACAATCACAATTCAACGGTGTTGTCGTTTGTATTAAGCAGATAGACGGTTGGTAAAAGCAATGAAGGCACTCCCCTTTAAATGCTTTTGGTTAAACTACCAATTATGTGATATCAGCCCAAAACCATCCAAAACACTTCCAGAAGCGTTTCCCCTGGCCGTGCTCCACAGAACCAGCATTGTGCTCATGCGTTGTTTACAAGACGCACTTGACTGCATGTCCTCCAAGGCACGTTAACTGATGTTAAACGTCACAGACATAATCTCGACTCACAGGTTCTACGAACTTAAAACAGGCCCCACACAATGGAAGATTTCCGTATTGGAATTGTGAGGGCCCTATCATGCAACTGTCAGGCCACTCTTCGCCAAGGTTGGGCACCAAAAAAAAAAAATGGTGCAGAGCGCACGTCTTCCCGCCGAGGTTGTAAATAGAGGGCGTGGTGTTTTATTGCCTTGGCAATAAATTAAAAAAAATTGTATTTAATGTGGTGAATTGTTTTTTTTCGGGTGCCGTTTAGACTCCGGTATTGTTTAGGAAATATTGTTTCAGCACAGGTATTGGAAAAACTCCAAACGATACCCATCCCAACTCTTCACAGAAATGATCTGCCACAGGGGATCTCACTCAAGCTGTCGTTTTTTTTACTGTTGCGGGATTGCGCAAGCTTTGTATGTTTGAGAGCAAACTCACAGCGAGCTCCTCGGTGCGTACCATCAGCTAATGGTTGTTTGCCGTGTGTGGTCAGCAGGCCGTGTTTAAGCAGTGACCTTCGCGTAGGACGTGTGGGAGGGAATAAATCAAACGACGCGTAGCAGGTCAAGGATGCCGCAGTACCACTCAGAGGGTGAAGTCTGGGTTTCAATATGTACCATGAACTCCACAGTAAGACGTGCTAGGATTCCTTCAGATGTGTCAAAATCAGCATGTTCCAAGAGAACAATGCAGTTTAAATCCTGAATCCTACAAGATGTGTCAATCAAATTTAATAATCAATAAGTAATTAAGACATAAATGACAAACTTTACTATGAATTTCATTATTCCCCTAATTGCTCAGTCACTACAAATATGATTTCCATTGACAAATTAAAGCTGAACTTTAAATGAAAATAAGTTGAAATAATATTGAAACCAGATTAGCAACATAAGCATTTGTTTCTTAAAACTTTATTTCACCATTTGACTTGGAAAATTCATAAAGAAGCAAGTGATTTCGGTGTGCCACAATAATCAAAGCTAATGCCTGATATCTGAAATGCGCCAACGGCAATCAGACTTTGTGTAAGGATCATTTTGCCGAAGGGCTGTTACATAAGATCCCCCGATGAAAAGCAAACCAGCACTGCCCGAGTGATCGATGATTCTTTCGCTACGCAGATCGAATGAATAACTGGACAAATCTGGGGCGCAGCGAATCCCTACTTTTCCAAAGAGAATTAAGTAGAAAAGATGATAAAGTAGACTGTTAAAGATTTTTTTTCTAGGTTCTTAAACTAGGCTTTAATGACCCTTGGGACACATTAATCTGGTTGATGAATTGCATTTGTGTGCCCCCCCCCCCTCATACCAAAAAAGAAAAAAGTACTTTAATGAGATGTTGCAACAGTGTATTTCTTTGCCAATAATATCCTTAATCCTCTAAACATGTCAAAACATTCCGCCTGTCTAACATTTTAAAACATTACATTCATCTGCAAAATGCTGCAGCAGTCACTGCTCAACACACAGTATTACACATAAACATCCTGTTCTCTGCCAAGCAACGGTCCTACTTTGACCTTTAAGTGACCACGTTTGGATTTTTTTGTTTTTTAGCATACTTCCTTTAAATGACGACACCCCGGAGACTTATTGAAGACAGAACAACACCGGGAGAAGGGAAAAACTAACTAACTTAGCGCTAACTACTTCGCCAGACCGCATTTGCTGACTAAAGACACCGTGAGGCAGCTCGGGCGTGTCGTGTTTTCAGGGGGCGGGCGGCACAACGTCAATTAACGACTCAAATACGGTTAAACGTTCATGCTAACGAAAGCACCGAACAGACGTGCCAAAGACGTTTGCTAAGGGGTCTTAACGTTGCTGCGGTTAGCCCGAGTTTACGTTAGCTTTACGAGCTAACGCTAGTAACGGAAAACTCATGACTGTGGACTTCGGTAATTAGACAACCGGTTTTACGACCGCAGCCCTGAGTCACCTGGAATTAAATGCTAACGCATGAAAACACAAATGCGCTTCACATTCATCCAAGAAGACAAACAAACAAACAGTCACAGTAAACAGTGTCCACATCTTTAAAGCTTAACAGGGATCGGTGACGCTAGCTAGCTGTAAAGATGATTTACCATAGAATATCAATGTCAGCAATATGCAATAACCAATGAAGAAAATATACACATGACACGCAAACTTCCCCAAGTAAAGGACACGTTGAAGCGTTGCACGGCTAACAGTTAAAACCCATCGGAATCGTGAGTTAATATGAACGCGCCGTTACGTTAAGCGGCCACTAACGTTAACGTTGGGTCCGTTGGTCGCCTTGCATAAAACGGGTTTGGTTGGTACTTCTCTGTCACTCTCTAACGGCCGTGTGAATTATCACCCAGTTATTCCGCTCCACTAAGAGGCGTCTGAACACTTACCAACGCCGGAGTTCGTGTTATTTCTGCCCTCGGTTAGTGTTATCTTGACGACTGCATTAATAGAGCATTTCGATGCATTGGATTCTCCACAAGCTAACCGCTCCTGCAACAAAAGCCCCACCTTCCGGATGTTAAAAAAAGGGGAAAAAGGTGCACGTGACCGGATGTAGCGTCATCGTCGCCTCCCGTTCAACCTGCATTTGTTTGGCTGACCGTCAAACAAGTTGAGCGTAATTGAGCGTGTCACATTTGACCCGTTCGATGCAATAAATTACGTTTTCCGAGACAAAGCAAACTAAATCCACACACACAGGGACATCTGTCTGTGGCGAGCTGCGACAGCCACATTACAAAACAACAAGATCACATTTGTTAAACGTTTAGTTGTGATGTTATATACAATACATTTTAAGTGAAAGTACACAAAACGACTGGTACGAGCTAAAATAACAACAATAAAATAATATTTGACAGATAGTTGAGTTTTCAGTGAAAACCTAGAAGTCAAAACACTTGCATATAGTCCTATTAAAATGTATACTTAAAATTAAGCTTGGTGAGGCTTTTGTATTCTGCAATGACAAGCAGTGCCATCTTTTTCTTTATTGCAATGTGAAAATGTTATCCTCCATGACCATGTATAAGGATAAGTCAGTATCAAAATGAATGGATGGTTAGACATAGTAAAAACAGAAGCCCCACCTTTGTGAAAACATATTACAGAATTTATGTGAATAACAAAAAAACAAATGATATCTACACATGGAGGGACACAAGCGTAGACTTTTGTTGAAGAGAAGTTTTGGGGAACGAATGAGATCCAAATCTGCCATAGAGGGTTCATTGCCTAATATTGCTTGATGCACCAGGTTGGTGTTTAAGGCCTTTTTCTTTCCTTTACTTTTTGTCTCAGCGGAGATAATGATGGCATCGATTTTGTGCACCTCTGAGCATAAATGTTAAGAATCCCTTAATGGCAAGCAATACATGAGCTGGGACTGAAACATTTGGGGCGCTCTATTCCCCTTCTGCTATTAGGTGAGAGTAAAATAGATTGAAGCCGAGGGAGGGGGGGGGGGGGGACTATGGGAGAGTGCAGCCTTGTATATTCTTTCTCCGGTTTCAGGTCATAATATACCCACAGGCCATAACTGATGCTTTCACAGAATCCCCAGAGAACCCTCCATTTTTACAAAAGTATGCGCCGACACCGAGCCTCGCAGTGTGGAACTACTTACAATGACAAGATATTAAATACCTCTTAGCTGACAGAAGTAGACAGCCGGTCTGTGGTCTCCTTACGCTAAAATAAGGCAGCAGACTGTGCTGAGGACATGGCCAGATAATAATGCAGACACACGGTGCACCGCTTAAAAAAAGACATAAACCACAGTGAAGCATTGCAGAAATTGGCCTTCCAAATCTGCGACTGGGTCAGCGTTTTATAATCTGAACAGCAAATTCTTCCTTTTTTTCCCTCAATACTGCTCACTGGCAACGAATGATGGCCTCAGACTGTCCATCGGTTTACCGGTGGCTGAGGTAACGTCAAGAAATGTTCTTTACTTCTTCTAAATCACTTAAACAGCCCACAGTGTGTTCAGGGTTTAACACGCCGCCAAACTCAAAATAAGGATGCTGGTGACGTTTCTCAGCAGTTGATGAAGAAGGCTCCTCTGGCATCGCATGAGAAATATTATCATCCTTAGCACACAACTATGCTGCCTCGTTTTTATGGAAAAAGATTATTTCCACTCTATGCTTTGAACAATAGCGCCCACGGTGTTATAGTGCAACATGGCACAAGGTTTCGCTGGCACGTTCCCCTTCATGACTGTAACATTTTCCCTCATTAAGTGTACAATTCTGGATCCCGACAGCATTTGGCACATACACTCCCTCAAACTTCATGCAGAGAAAAAAAGAAAGCATATTCTACGTGCCCGGGAATACAAAAAGCACACTCCAGGATTTTCTTCTTCTCCGCACAAAAGCCCCACCTTGACTAACTTGTTTAGTTGTAAACCAGAGAGCAAAGAAATCAGCAACCTGCAGACTCAAATGGACGAAATACAGCTGGCAGGCTGATGTGAGACCATAACTCAAACCAGTCAGGGCTCGGTAAGGGTGAAGGAAACTGCACCATTGTATTTGTGGGAGGACTCTTTTTTGGCAGAGAATGACAAGATTGTGGGAGGAAAAAAAAAAAAAAAAGCACAGGCTGCAGCAAAACTAACCCTCCGGCTTGTAGTTTGGCCTCCGCGCCTGAACGATCCCGCCGCTGTGGTCTCTCACACACCTGCACATTTTGGACGTAGAGGCACCTGCACAGTTCTTACACCTCACTTCCCCATCAGCAGAGCTCAGCCACCCTGCCTGCCGATGCCAACCACTGCCAGTGGGTTCTCTGTTGCTACGAAGACTCGCTGCAACACATTCAATTAAAAAAAAAAGAGAAGACTACTTCCTCAAACTGCCTTCCAATTAACGGAGAAGTCTGAGAACAAACAGCGTGGAACTAATCGTTGAACGCATTCATTCATTGACTCCACCAGGTGGAGCCAGAAATAACGAGTTTCTTTAAAAGCGCTTTCCCAATTTGTGTAAAACGTGCAGTATTGCGCGGCTCATTGAACTGCTTGTATTTCATTGCATTGTGTTGTCCCCACAGGGTGGAACGAGATGTGCGCTTAACAGCTCTCATTTCACCGTTTCAGGCTGCAGCCAGCCAAGGAGTGGATGTCTTGGAGAGACTAAATTCATTTGGTGTTTAGTACCAATAAAGGGCTGAGCAACAACCAGTGCGTTACGTTGCATCATAAAGCAGTTCCACAGTCACTTGATACATCTATAAATAGTTTGAAAAACAATTCAGGTCACACTCAAATGTCCAGCTCTATTTCAACCGCCCCCCACACATGTATAGTATTGGTTTAGTAGTTAAGCGTACATAAGAATACCATTTTCATTGATATTGCATAAATGTTTATTATAACTCTTGCAGTGAAAAAATATGGCGAATCCACTCTCATACAGATGTGAATTTACAGACCATGAATTCAGGCGTGTCTTTGATGGGTGTTACTTGACATAGCAGCAGATATGCTTGAAAACATTTCAATTTATATGACCGCTGTGAAGGTCTGAGACACGCGCGTTACTTCAGTTTAGCTTGAGACGAGTAGGAGATGTTTGTCTGCTCGGAGGCTTCATTTATTATGTTTAAATGTTATTATTCAGGCCCATAGCAAACACAAGCAAAATCTACCCTTTTGGATATTCATAAAATAAAATACACACTTCTAGTTCACTTCTGCAATAAAGTGACTGCGGCAGTTTAGCACGTCATACAACCAATCATCATCATCACCTTTCCTTTCAAAACAAGGCACGCGTCACAATATACGCCATGTGATTTCCGTCCTTTCATGGGCCGATTCCAGAGTGTCACAAACCCAAGGTGGCAAATATATCATCTATGTCATCGTGGCTGTCCCAGCCGGGGGTCGGAGGCGTCACCAGGCATTTACTCCCGTTTGTTCGGTCGTCCCATGACGGTCCCGAGGCAGATAACTCGGGCGTCTTCCTTTGTCCCCTCGTCCGTTTATGTCTCACGCCAGTCCTTCGCTTTGAAGACTCGAATCGACTCCTGAGGGACTGGAAACGAGTTCTCAGCCGAGCACGTCCCCTCATTCCAGCAGAAGGCCGACCGGCTCTTGGCTCTGACCTGTGTGGAGATGAAGCCCAGCAGGCTTTCTGTCTGAAGGCCCGCAACTTCCTCTGGACGCTGCGGACGAGGACAAATTATGGAGACGGGGGCAGTCAGTGTTTGCAGAACCCATGTAATAGAATAATTAATATGTACACATAGTAGCTGCTTTATTATGGTAAGCCTGTGCAGTCTAATGCAAACCAACACATGTGCGCTTACAAAAAGTACATTTATGTAGCTTATAAAATAAAGATAGGTAGTCCAGGCAACAGTGGGGTTTTATACTGAACTTCATTATACTCAAAGGGGTTTGAATGCTGTGCCCCACTCATTTAGTTAATTAAGGCCAAATGAGTTATGCAAATGTTCTAATTGCATCAGATTGCACAGGCGTACCCAATAAATTGACCACCGACCGACATTCTGCAGCTTCTCTCTTACTTGAAACCTGCAGCCTCGAGGCATTTCATCCTCCGGCACCTTAAAAGCAGGAAGGTCAAAAGTCGTTTTTCCTTCCCCATCTTCTGAGATTTACACCATGGGATCATTTCTTCTAGATGGGTCACCATGCCTGTGAAAGTAGTTGCCTCTTTCACTTGTTTCTTGAACGTTTGTTTCTTGTCATCCTTCCGTGTTTTCTGTGCGATGGATTTGCCCTTTGGTAAGGAAATACATATCCATTATATGGGACGATCAAGGTGGAGACAATTTGCCATGACATATTCCGAAAATAATGGTATACATTTCATTGTATTCTCACATACCACAGTAAGGCCCCTGACAACTTTGAGAAAGGGCTTCATGTCAGATTCAAGACTGATACCTGAAAAAAGAACAGTAATGTCAATACCGTTTGTTCCATTGTTCCCTCTGCATGCTGAGAAGAAATTCAACACTATGTAACAATACTGCTGAAATCCTCTGGTTCAGATCACACACGGCTACATTTGAGGATTCATTTGTCAACCATCAGTGTCCATTATAGTCGTGTCCTCTCGCTGCCCTGCCTACACAAATCACGCACAACGTAAAACAACGGGGGAAAAAGCTCCACACCTCTTTCAATAGCGACACCCAAATCTTCCTTCCTCGTCTTTCTCCGGTTGTTTACGTTCGCCAGAGGTTTCTCACTCCGCTGCCGCTCCTGGAGGGTTTTAGCACAGTGACCATGTGGCGTCTTTATGATGAGCAAACATGCATCAGCGGGACCCAGGAACTGCGCCATATCGGCCGGAAGGGAGAAGTCTCTGAGGAAGGGCATGGGATGGGCCTCGGCTACTTCTCCGAGGAGCTGCAGGAGCTGCTGATACAGAGTGGACAGGCTGACCAGAATGCCGCGGAAAACCACCCTGACAAAGCACAAGGAAGGCAGATTTAGGTATGAGGAAGGCGGTGGTTTTCTAAACAAATACAAAACAAGCATTTCAAAAATACAGAAGTATTTTTTTTTTAAGTCTTGAAAGCATCAACATAGAAAGCCCCCCCGTGCTGGATAATTCTGCATTTCAGACGTTTTAGATGTGTAAATGAGGAAGAGCGCACTCACCAGAGACGACTGAGCATGCTGCTTATCACCATGTTCAAGACAATAAACTCCTCCAATTTCAGATGCTGCCTCGAGAGTCTGAAGCATAATTCTCTTAAGGACAAACCCCCCCCCAAAAAACATTTCAGAGGTTTCTGTCAAATGACTCCTTAGGTTATTGAACCGCACCACCTTTGAAAAGGATACGTGAAAGCTCTGCTGCAGCGGTTCAGAGTGCAGCTAATCAGCTGGCCGGCTCCCAGCACTTTGAGGCAGAGCCACTCCAGCATGGGCTGACTGGGGACATCACACACCCCGGCATTGATGCTTAGTTGTCTAAAAACACAGTTAAATGTAGGGTTGCAGATCAGTTCGGATTTTTTATTAATTTGCTCTTCAGTAGACCCGAATTAACCTGCAGCATAGAAAAGTGCTGACCTGATGTGGAAGATGGGTGCCTGAGATATTATTTATTTATTGTTCACTGCAGTTAATCCATAAACGCTTTTCCACACGTTGCGTGACATTAAACAGCAAAGTTACTGTCGGTTATCATCATAAAACAGCACACTGAGCCGACGGAGCTTTTCTACGGACCTTTGAATCCTGTTGGGACACTGGCCCTTCAGCTCCTGGAGAGCATCAACAAGCTTCATTCTATTCAGCCTGTTTATGCATTGCTCCACCTGTGAGGGACAAGTGGCAATATGAGAAATAGATCAGTTGGTTCTTCTGGGTTTGTGGAGGGAGAAGCCTGAATGACCGGCACGTTTCCTCCATCACATCCAGATGTGGAGGACGTGTCCACGGTCCTCACCTGCTTCAGGCCTTTGAACGTCTTGTTGCCTCTGGCGCTGTTGTTCAGGACGTACAGTAACTTGTAGAGGACTCGTACTTCCGTTTGAAGGATGTCACTCCGACAAAGCTTAAGCACCATCTCATTTGCCGCCACCAGCCCTCTGACCCGTTCACCTGCGAGACAGCAACACCACGCACACGTGACCGTTCATTCGGGGATAAGGTAAAAAGTCAGGTCGGACCCGTGCGCAGAGCACGTGGGAGGCGCGCGGCATACGTGCAGGCTATTTGCTGCGGAGTTTAGCCCCAGACAGCGCAGTTTCATCGGCTATTTGCGCTAATGTGGATCCGAGTAACGAACCGTACCTGTAGAGGAGGAAAAATGTATCCGCACACAGGATACGGCGCCGGGAAACGCGATGTTTACCCTGTTCCACGGCTCCGCCGCCATGCTTGCCCACGCCCCCTTTCCCCGGAAAACTAACGGAAGTCAGTCAGCCAATCACAAGCGAATATGTAAGTCAGCGTTTGTCTTAAAGGTGCAGGGACACAGTCAAGACCATAGATTTTTTTTAAAGGCCTTTATGTATCTCTGGTTGAAGACAGCACGCACGACACTAACTTCAAAATAAGAGCCATGTTCAAGTTTAAATACATGGAATTAAATATGACAGAACTATGATAAATAATTGCCCTTCAAAATGTTCTAATTTAATTTACTTTTTCACTACTTTCCCCATTTAAGATTTGCTTTAAAAGGTTTGATACTAGAAGGGTTTAATTTCAGTGGGTTGCCACTTTTCAGTTCTCCACCTTTTGAGAATGTTTGATACATTAAAAAAACAAAATAATATGTCTGCACCGTGTAAAAAATAAAATCCTTTATTTAAACGTTTGACAGTAAGTTACAAAAAAATAAGTAAATATCTATGCAAGCTGCTTAGTCAGCCAGGTGATCACTTGTGAATTTACTTCATCCAGCACAGAATCCTCTGACCTTCCTTTGACTCTCAGTCCATGATTGGCTCCTTTCACCCAAAAAACGTCAACTTTCGCTTTCATTTCTTTTACAATCCCTTCAAAAAGGACCTGAGCAAGCAAAATGCAAAATAAGAATAAAAAAACAACAAAAAATGGAATCATTAACAAATAAAGACAAGTAACAATGAAAATACATATATTTATAAATAATAAATAATATTAAATACAAATAAAAAAATCTGTATAAACCCCTCCTCAACCGTCCTCACCCTGTCGCACATGATGTCCTCGGTGCCTGACACACACAGCACAGACAGGTGGTCCGGGAGCCCCCTGAGATCCTCACTTCTTTGCAGATGAGCGTTCATCAGGGCCGGGGGATGCAGGGGGAAAGAGAGGCAGATGACGCCCTGCAAAGCATCCTCAGATTCTTCACTCAGCTGCCGGGCTAAAGCTGCAGCAGCCCGACATCCCATTGACCTGCCTGTGGATGGGTCACAGACAAGATAACACACTCTGGGTACTATTTTTAGGAATGCGCAATTTTGTCAGAACCTAGAAATGTTTATGGGAAGATCAACCCATATAATTAACAACATTATAAAATTGTAAACTTATTGATCACTGTATTGTTAATTTAAGATACAGCTATGTAATATAAATCAAACCAGCGGGGTTGCTTACCTCCAACAAATATCTGCTTTATGGTAAACTTCTGTAGAGATTTCAAGAAGTCCTAAGGGGAGGCGTGATTCTTAATCTGTTAATAGTTGCACATGCTTGTTGTGAGGATAAAACAGCGAATGTCATGTCTTGCAATGATGGAAATGCTTACCCACACAGCACGGTAGGCCTTTACTTTGTAACCTAAGTTTAAACCTTTACACGTGAAACGGAAACAAAGGAAGCCATTCGATGCCAAGGCACGTGCCAGAGAAACCAGATGTTTAAAGTTCATGTCTCCACCCGCCCCATGTGTGAGAATGACGGCCGTATCAACATCTGTCTCCGACGCAGGGAAACACATGGCAGCATCCAGATGCTTGGTCCCAAATGGCACTTTCACTGAGTCCTAAAGACCCGAACAAAAGCCATGAAATTATAGTTAGCTTTTGAAGCAACAGCTTGAAATAATTTCTTACGCCGTGCGTGCTAGCTCAAGATAATAACTTAATCATATTGGGGGGGGGGGGGGGTACTGTTTGATATTTACCTCGTCAAACTCAGCCATTAAACGAAGGCGGGACGCAGCCGTGTGCTGCTGGTTCGGCGCATGCGCAGTGCGAGTGGAGGAGAGGCGTTCAAGGGTAATTTCTTCTGTCTTTTAGGTCCATTCGCGGCTGGCAAACAATAAAGTTGTGCACTATCGCCACCCACTGGTACGGAGGGTAAATCAAGCTATTCATTACTTTGTTGAAACGACAAAAATACATCTTATCAAATATAAAGAAAAAACAACATAGCTTGTCAGACAATGTTATTTGGAAGGTTCTCCTATGAACAAGTGGCGGCTGGGGGTTGTTTGTCTTTTTAAAGGCCACCTCATCCTGCCAGAAGTGTGATGGCAATGCAACTTGAACATTTAACAGTTAACACATAATGCAGAATTAAATTAGAAATCCCACAATGTTTGCTTTTAGTTTGTATATTCCTTTGCAGCGGGTTTTATGCATGTCCCTGGAAACAAATCACTTTGAACATACAAAAAATGTTTATTTAAAAAATGAGATGTGATATTCAGCGTCATACAATTAATTAACACTAAAACATTATTTGGTAGTATAGATATGGAGGATTGCTCTGGAGCTGGGTCGATCAAAGTTCATCCTTTGCCTGAAAAAAAAAACAAAAAGATGAAGTGATGTCACTCGTAAGATAATATCTATGTTGGCATTTGAGAAAATGATCTGTGGTCGGAAGAAGCATGTGCCATTAAAACTTGAAAAAATATGATATGTAAACTCCAAAGAAAGGCAGCGTACTTATGCGCCGCAGTTTGGATTGAACTTTTACTCATTGAAATTCACACAGGTTTTTTCGCTTATGCTGCCTGACTGCTGTTTGTAATCCTTCAAGTTGAAATGAGGTGAACAAAGACAAATTGACTCCAATTCATGATAGTCATCAGTGCCAGTTTCCCCTCATACTGTGAAAGGAACATCGCCCGGCTGCTCTACCTTTTTATGTCCGACTCGTTTATTCATTAAGCTGCAGTGACACCTTACGCACACCAGAGGGAGCCACATTTTAAGATTAGAGCTGAAGGTCCCGGTGGGCCTTACCTTCGTCCTGTGGCAGGAACATGGAAACAGGTCATCGCTGGGCTGCTCCACAAGCTCCATGCCTTCTCGAACCTTAGGCTGTGTGACCTGGAGTTTGGCGTACTCCTGTGAGGAGAACATCGGACTCATTAAGGACTACGAGAGGCCGGGTAGAACAAATATGGAACCAGAACAGACATCTGTATCATGGGAAACCATCTTATCCAGAGACACATAAATAACCCTTTACGGCAGTGTGACTGACTCCGAAACTGCTGAAATGTTACCTGGAAAAGTTTGTAGTAGTAACAAAATATGCTGTTTCCCATAAGATGATTGCGAGCAAACTGCTGACCCGCACGTGCAATTTTCTTGGTCTGGAAAAAAAAAAAAATAGCAAGAATCAATTATTATGAAATGAAAAAATAAAAATACCCTTTCAGATGAGAGTTTAAGTCATCCATGTTAATTCTAAAAGAGGCCAATACATTCCCACTGAATAGAATTACACCACATCATACTGGATAATGCCATATTCGTCATGGCCATCACCTCTTCATCGTGGTCACGAGCCCACTGGATCTTTTCCAGCAGGTCTCCAAGGTCGGCCCTGAGCGGGATGTAGTGCTCCCACGGCCGCAGCTCGTTGTAGAAGTGCTCGTAGTAGCCAGAGTCCTGCTTCAAGACCACACTGTCGCCCGCCAGGAGGTAAGGCAGTCGATACGCTGCCACAGTGCCGTCAATGTTTATCTGGTACTTGTACTGGTGGGGGAAAATGGGACAAAGAATAGAAATTAAGGGACTATCCTCAAAAGCAGCTTCTGAAATACCACTCGGTACTGCAGATGATCCCTTAATGGTGACTCCGCTTTATGTATTAAACCAGACCTGCCATGCCGCAGCACTCCCACCTTGAAAAAGTCAAAGAAAGAGACGTGTTTGACCAACGGCCCAAAGAGGCTCTCGTCGTGTTTGAAGAAGAAGAAGTTGGTGAAGGCAGCGTCTACGTAGTCGGGGTGAGCCCTGGAGAGCTTGACCAGCTCCAGGCGTTCCTGTCGACTGTCCCGGCCCCTCCAGAAGGCCGTGGCGTTCTTCTCCGGCCACGGGGGCCCCGTGTTGGCCTGCACCGACAGCATGTCCAGGCTCACTCTGTTCATCGGGCCGACAGTTTGTTTTCCAGGTTATTTATCTCTGCGGCGCTCAAAGATATGGACTTGTACAGGTAATGACATGTGGAATCAAAGGGGGGATATTAAGAGCGAAAAGAACCTTATAGTCCTGCAGACAAAATAACGTCGTAAAATAAAGTTATTTTACTTTACACTGTCAGTATTGCAATACAGAAAATGTACTTTTGTCATGCAGGGAGCAGCAGCTACAGATAAACGTGGAGAGCTAATATCGCTCATTACCGGAGGAGAATTTTTATGTGGAAGGCTGTCCTGCTGGCTCAAATCTAAATGCAAAAATAAAATGATGTCTTTGCAAATGTATTTCTTCTGTCACACACCGGCGCTGGATAAAAGTGCACGAGGCAACACGGAGGAAATAATGAGCATCTCGGCACACGGTTTATTTTGGTTCTTCATTATTCTGTCTTGCACTGTGACAGCGTCGCGGTCCGTGGACACACAAGCCTGGACAGCATATTGTAAATCACCTTAATGACTAGCGGGCGGCAATGTGCCTGAGCTGACCGTGACTCCAGTCTTCTTTGTAGAAGACGGCTGCAAACTTTTCAGAGCTACCAGAGAGGAAAGGGGATTGCTCCTTTCAGGGTTCCCGGGTGTGATAGACTGTGGTAGACTGCTTTACACACACACACGCCGAGGACTATTGCACTGACCTAATAGCACTACCAACCAAAGATTGCTGCACTTAATCCATGCATGGGCGCACGGCCTTACCGTCCCATGGTCTCGAGGACAGACTCGGTCAGGTCATAGGTGGGCATGACAATGTCCCTGGTATTGTTAGAGCCACACCAAGAAAAGATGGGGTGAATCCTCTCAGTGGGTTTCCTCTTCTCCAACGGCCAGTCGCCCAGGTTAACAAAGAACTCCATGTCAGAGAGCTGCACCTGAACGTACGACACAACGGAAACAAGTGGCCAATTAATAAATGCAACAAAAAAAAAACGTGTTTAAGACTGAAACCGTTCCAATGTTTCCGTGTTAAGACAGATTGAAGGACGGTTCAAGAAGAAATTACCTTCCTGGTGAGGGACAAGAGGATGGCATCCATGAAGATTCTGAAGCCCACATGCTCTCCAAAGGTTTTCACGTAGACCTGAGAGTGTTAAAAAAAAAAAACAGCTCACCATTAAAAGAACGTTTTCAACCTGCCGATGAAGACCATGTAGTATGGTCAAAAGCTCTGGAAAGCCAGTAAGAAAAGGTCCTTGTATTGTTACTAGTGTTTTTCAGCAACAGGAGTCAAGAGCAGTGCATAATAAGGGTGTTGAAACATGAACTGCAGATTTGCTTCCATTGTACATTTTCATTTTAGAAATACGGAAGTCAGTTGGGAAGCGCAGACAACCGATACATTACTGGTTCTCAGGTAAAGCTAGTGCTGTGAAAACAGGGCTTTACGCGTATCACCGTTACAGGAAGCGGTAGGAACAACAGCAGTGGTCTTTTGAGGAGAACGTGCCCTTGAACACCTGGTACATAAGACTGTTGTTCCAGGTGTGTCACATAGCTGTAGGCTCCCCTCTGCCCCGCCCACTTAACATTATCATTTCACCGTAGCTTTTCGCCTAAAGAAATGCTACCCTTTAAATCCGTAAACCGAGACGTATTTGTATGTTTACTGTGAGAGGTACCCGGTTGTCTTTAACAGTGTAGTGACAGAGGCTCTGCCGCTGTCCGAAGCGCTGCGGGATCTCCTGCGCATTGAGATCCAGGTCAACGCTCGGGTAGAAGGCCAGGTCCCGGTCTATCTGAGGGAAGGACTGAGGACAGTGCATGTGGGCCTCCCAGACAGAACCACTTGGCTGGGGACAGTGGCAGCCTTCGTGGTAGACTGGGCCTGCAGGTGTGAGAACAAAGAAGCATCATTAAGGACCTTCGCTTTCTTTTAAAAGAACAACTTTTTTCTAGGAAACATGGAGAATGTGTCACCTTTGAGAATGAATGGTGACTTGGCCACGTGGTTGTTCTTGAGCAGAACGTGGATGTGGAGGTCCGTGTAGGTGGCGTACATTCTGTAGCGGACCAGGAAGGAGCCGTCATGACGATCGAGGACCTGGATCCAAATTCTGGCGAAATCCTCCGCTGGAGACACAATCTTGACTTCATACGTCTGCTCACCAGGCGATGTCGTTAAACTGCGAGGGAGGGAAAAAAAATGTGGAGAATGCGCTCCGGTCAAGAAAGAGCGGAGGCCCCAAAACATCGTAACATGCCGGAGCGTAAGCCTCAGTGTAACATCGCACGGACCAAAACGCTTTGTTGCAAATAAGCACCATACAAAATGCTAAGCCATTTCCATAGTCTGGGTTCAGATTGAAAGTGCCAAATAATACAAATCCATTCCTAATACTTTCAGACTTTATATATTATAATTGAACATCACAAGTTGTGCATTTAAACCAGGAGATCAGTTGTCGCTGATGCATGCTACTGTTGTCTCCCTTGAGCACCAGTAGACAACAACGTGGTGTTTCTTTGTAGGCAGGTACGAAAGTGAGAAACGGATCCTTCTTGACACCCAGAGCGTGTGTGAAAGTGACACCCGAATACCGGTGGGTGCAGACTTTCACGCTCCGTCACCATTGCAAAGTTTTAAATTTCAACACTGTTGGGAGATTTTTACTAGGGTGTCATTTCTTTGTTGTCATGCAGTGAAGAAAGTACAGTCACATTGTCCTGCATCAATAACATTCAATGGAGCAATTTTGTATAAAAGCCAAGGACAGAAAGAAAAAGAACCACAGTGACCCAGATATGAGATGATATTTTGTTTTCATACTAAAAACTATTGAGGATTTTTGTCTTTAGTAATTTCCCCACGGAAAGAAGAGGAGGCTTAACGTGAGCTTACTCAAGTATTGAAGAACAGTGCATTTGCACATTTGAAGTAACAACAAACCCAAAGAAGGACGCTGCGTGGAGCATTTTTAAAGCAGCACCTTTTGCCATCAACATTTTCCACTTTGGAAAACTGGAAAAAGGGGGAAAAGGGAGAGAAACCGAGCGTTACTCACTTCCTCCCCGAGCTGTCTACCGCCTGCACGAAGAAGAACCGGGCCGGAAGTACGACGTTCGCTTCGAGTCCGGGTCCCCAGACCAAAGTGTTTGCCGCACTGGGGGACGTTGCCGAGTCCGCTTCGCCACCCGGGAGTTCGAGTCCCGAGAGACCCGGAGAGAGAACCAGCAGCAGCAGCGGCAGCAGCCAGGGACGAGGCCGGAGAGACATACCGGTCTCTGTGTCCTCTGTCTTTCACGGGGAGCCGTTACTTTTGTCCACGGGGTGGTTCACTGCCCGAACTTGCCATTGAGGTTTAAAAAAACAAAACAACATAACGTTATTACATCGAGCGAATGAATATAAATCTATAATGCTAGCTTACGTTTTGGCGTTAGTCCGTTCCGTCTCCATTTGGGATAACACATCTCAGAAGTGACACTGCTGATAGCACATGTCTGGTAACATATGCGTTGTTTTCATATGCTCTCTGGGTTACGAAGAGCACCGTTAGCTAGCTAAGATCCAAAATCCATGTACAGTGAAGGGATCGAGCTGCAAGATTGACAACCGGGCATTCCGGCATTTTGATTGGTCACCGCCGCTGTGACTCTGGGTCTGATTGGCTGAATGAGCGGTTTGCTCCTGCTCTGAAGCTGATTGGACAGAAATCCGGAAGTGAACCTCGTCCGCATGCCGGGGCCAGAGCCAGTTGGTGAAGCTGAGGTGAAAGGGATGAAAATGTTGAATGTGGTTTTCTTTTTAAAAGTTAATTCAGGCGAAGCATGGAACATTATGTATAATTTTCTATCAAATATAGCACCATTTCACAACTTGACATACTTTTTAAGTTGTGGTAAATCCTGGCAATGCCTTGCTGTACAAATACTGACGTTGCATATAGGTAGAATTCAGGTTTTCAAAAGAAACCATTTTCGACCTAATATTCTTGGAATATAATATTCTTTGCAATATGTTTTAACTTAATATTTTGACATATGACATTTTTACTTTTTTTCAAAACATTTTTCGATGACGGAGTGAAGAAATTTACTGTAATGGACTTAAACTGTTTATTGAATTATGGGCCCAACATTCCAAACTGTGGTGGATGTAAAACATGTTTCAGAAATTTTATAAATTGTTATAGGATATACGAAATGTATTCTTTATAATGGTGATTCAATTTGTAAGAAATGCATTTGTGTGAGATTCATCACTTTTTGCCTCAATTAGTGATGAAGTAGGTAAGTAACGTTTAAAGGGTAAACATGATTTATTAAAAAAACAAGTAATACAGAGCTCTCAACTGTGTACATCAATCAATGTTTATTTCAGTTTGTTTTAGCATCAACATATGTTCAGTTCTTTTTTATTAGGTAATTTCTATTACACTAGTATAATATCAATAAGAACAAAAAGTGGTAGAATCCATTTAAATAAGACAAACTTTGCTGCCATCATTGAGAAAACCAGAGAAATGCCTTTTCAGGATACTACAGCGTGAAGAACTACAGAGTTCCAGTGATTTAGATGGAGCCAGAAAACCAGATACAGTACCAGCAGTAACAGGTACAACATATACAGAGAAAATATTCCAAGAATGTCTTTATCTTTTGTATTTTTTTTGTGTTTTGTTTCACCGTTCTGCCAAGATTGAGCTGTACAGTTAATATAAAAACCCAAAACATACTAACAAAACACCCTGTCAGTAGAAGTCCAATTTTTTAAACGTTCTTTTGATTTTTTTTAATAGTTTTTTTCTCTGCCATTGAAAGAACTGCACTGAACACACATCTCATTGACGGTACAGAGATACATTACATGTATTCTGTACAAGAATTACATTTCTTTCTTTTCTTTTTTTACATGTTTAAGACACCTCGTTGAATCAAACCATGTGTAATACTGAAAGACGCGTGACACGTCTTTAGGATTTCAGGTGACTGGGTCTGGTGAAAACAAATGGGTTTAAAGGCCAAGCCGAAGGAATCCCTCGGCAGCCTGACAGGAAGCAGGCAGAAACTACTAGTAATGCAGATGGATTAATTTGTTTTATTTTTTTAGGTTCTGTGCGTAGGAGTCACTGTGCATATTTTATGTGGGAGTGGTTTCGATGTGATCACGGAGCAACAACTTAATGCTTTTCTGCATAAAGGCCGGATGTGTCAGAAATGAATATCAATAATCCTGCTTGGTTTTTCGGATCGATTCAAAATACAGACAGATACACAAGTACGAAATATCCTCTTCAGTTAATGTCGATTGCCTGTGTCATGTGGCTACCCATTGACATGTACAACACAATCACAATATGATACACGACCATGTGTCGTGAAACATTTGTTGTTTTTAACATACAACAGCCTTCTGTTGAGAGGCCATCACCATCAAATATAGGACTGTGACAAGCGGATAGCACAGTCGTCAAGAACAATATTGAACAAAAAAAAAAATCAATAAAAATGAAAACAACATAACTACTGACTCACATCTGAACGTCACTGAAATAAATACTGTTACTTCTCTGGACCCGTTTACTGGTAAACAACTCACTAGGGAGTAAGCAGCGATTAAGTGGTTGTGACTCCAATTCCTCTTAATACTCCCCTAACAAAGACGTTGACAATCATTAAAATCATTGTTTGTGATCATGAAAAGAGGACCGCTCAAGTTTAACCCTGAAAAGTCGTCAAACCGCAACTTCTACAAGTCTGAGGTGGAGAGAAATGGGAGGTTGTCAATCACGTCTGATTCTTTTGGCAGAGAGAGAGAGAGAGAGAGTTCAGCTGCTTCACACTCGTGGCCCTCGCTGTCTCTTGTGCTCTCTCTGACACACACACACATACACGCACACACACACACACACTATGGCTCACTGAACTCAGATCTAACAAAGGCAGCCGACGACGGAAACGGTGAACCAGCAACACCCGACAAAAATAAATAAATAATAACACAGTCATATTTCTTTTTTCCCCCCACAAAGAAAATGGACTTTTTTTAACTTTTGTAAATGCCCTTGAACTCCTCAAGTACGGCGTCATCTGTTCGGATCAAACAAAATGACGACGACAACACGTCAGTGGATTCACTCATCTTGTCTTGTATGGCACGTGAATAGTACATCGGTTGGTACTACAGCTGTGAACACACTGGGTCCAGAGTGCTTTTAACTCTTTCAGCCTTTGAATACGTCTCACAACAATCGGTTCATGGTTCCATTCAACTGTAGCTGGGAAGTTATATATTCCTCGTCATTTAATGCTTTTGTAAGCAGCAGCCACCGAAAAGTGAAATTACTGTGATTAGACTGTGAATAAAACGATTACATACTACTGATTTGTGTTTGCACCGTGCAGCCCAGAGCAATTGGTAAGAATAACGTTTCAGCATTAGCATAAGTGTGAAGAGAAAGCTAACTATGTGTATCGATATTGTGGCGTTTCATATTTGCTGAAACTTAGAATAAAACACAAATGAACCGAAAATAAAAAATTGAAAAAAGGGAAAGGAATACGAGTTTTGGCGTAATAGCGATGCAGGTATAAGGTTCCCTTTTTATATATATTTCTTTGTCAATATTTCAAAAAATATAACGTTTTTCATAGTTTCTGTTGTTGGCTTACATTATTAAAGAAAACGTTTTAACGTTTTATTTCTGTATCTTCTGTTAAAGTAGCATGCTGCTTTTTAATATGGCAGTTGGATCTTTTTAATAGTCATCCATTTTTGTTTCATGCATTTCTTGGTGGTTTCCTTAAATTTATGGTATCTACACACTGAGGTCTAGAAAACCCAACCACATACACACACGCACACACACCCACCCACACGCCATTTGCCTCTCATCTTTCTGTCCTCATCCATTCCTGTCTAGACAAGGAACTAATACGTCCTCTTCCTCCAACAATGAGACAGTGCCGTAAGCGTGTCCAGAAGCCGTAAAGACAAAGTGCCTCTTGAGTCCCTCTTCTTCAAAAGCTCTCATTAATAGAGTGAAAGTCCTGTTGCGGCACAAGCTCCCCGCAGTCCGAAATGCAGCCTCAGCCGTTCCTTTGCTATTACAACTGGTACCACTTCTTGTCTTTGCACTTCAGCATCAGCTGTAAGGAGAAAAAGTCACATTGAGTCGATCGTGAGGAAAGTTGTCAGTGCTTGGATTGAAGATGTTCTCTGCATTGTTAAAAAAAAAGAAATCATTTCTTTTACAAAGTAAAATTTACAAATCTTAATATAGTGTTGCATCAGCGAGATCTGACAGATTTCAGATGTATTTTTCCGTTTCAGATTACCTCATCTAATTAGCTTTCCCCTTTTGAAAGAAACCCCCCTTTTTCATATGTCAACGATCGCGTGCGTCTTACCTCGTGGGCGTGTTTGGAGAAGGTCTCCGCGCTGGTCATCATCAGCGCGGTTCGGTCCTCCAGCTCCCCGAGCCTTTGGCCCCTCTCGTCGAGAGCGACGCGGGCCCTCGCCAGATCTCCCATGACCCCGCTAGCTGCCACCTTCATGCCCTCCATCCCCGCCTGCCCGGGGATGTGCTGGGCCAGGCTGCGAGAAGCCTTCCCAGCCGACGCCTCACCAACTGTCAACGGCATCAGGTGGGAGAGGAAAGTGAAGGCACGCAGGGAAAGAAAGAACATTCTGAGTCACCATGACGGAGTACTCGGTCCCTCCTGGATACTTGCTAATTACTGTAATTACATGTGACATTTCCAGGAGGGATCATTCCGGCCTAGAATAAAAGCCTTTACACAGAGAAAAAGAGAGAACACAGAACAACGCACAAAGCTCCTCTCTGTCGAAGTTATGAGAATTCCCTCCAAAGAAGCCCTTTAGGAAGCCTCTGTTCTGCGCTTCCGGTGTTTCTATCGGTGTGAACAGCTCCCCCAGCATCTCCTGAAAGGAAGGAAAACAGAGAAAAAGAGATAAACTATTGTTGCGTTTAAAACAATTCTGAACCAGTATGTTGGTCATTCTTAGAAAGCTGGAGTCAAAATCTTCTCCACTCTTATTAAAGTAATCAGAGTAACTGCTGTGGCTGCACAGTAGGTGGCACTATGACAGCGTCGCGCTACAAGCTCCACCAACATACCTTGTGTATGTGTGCAGTGATGGCTCTTAAGAATATATACATGAATGAATATAAAGATGCCAAAGTCTACATGCACATACACATGCGCGCACACACAAACACACACACAGACGCTGTAAAATCCGCCCAGTTTGAGCTGACACCACACATGACGGGTGACATTTTACAGTAATGGCTTCTGTCAGCTACGGGCTTCACCGTGGGTGGGAATAATGGCACCTGTTTATTAACTGCACCAATACTTTTCTGCAGTCAGCTCCCAAGACGTGAGATAATTCAGATTCGAGCTAATTAAAAAGGCCCTACGGTAACATTCTCATCACACATGTGCCTTCCATTACAACAAAAGCTAAATGCCGAGATGTTGAATGACAGGGAAAGAGACGGACACACATATTATGTAGCTACAGGTGAAACGACAGGAGGTGGATGGATACCTGCAGGTTGTCACACATCTCCTGGCTGTATGTAATTCTCTGGATCTCTGTCGGGGAGCTGAGATATAGTGCCTGCCCCCCGTTGGTGAAGCAAAAGGTTCTAGCGATGCGCATGTCCGTCAGAGGCAGGTAATTCACATCCATCAGCGGTCTCAGACTGGGCAAACTGTGAGAAGTGCAATAATTATAAGAGAGTTAGACACCAGGACACTGGATCATAATAACTACAAAAGTAAACCGCCACAAATCAGAGACAAACCAAGCAGGAATGGGTTTTTCCTAAATTCAGACTTAAACAAACCACAGGATTCATGGCTGAGCCTTCGTCTGGGACACAGCAAAAACACTATAATCAAGAATACATTGGCGCTGTAATTTCGGCATTATCTGAGTCATACCTGAGGGTCATGACGTGTCCGTTTGCGCAGAAGCAGGCCAGGCACACGCTGCCGCACACAGACACCACGTCGGCCCGCAGTACGAAGGACGACTCGGTGATGTTGTGGACGAAGAGGCAGGACTGCGAGGGCATCAGCACGACTTTGGCCTGCTTCTCGGAGCACACCACGGCCAGGTGCCCCTCCCCGCAGTTGTCCTGGGAGGACGATGGCGAAAAGTTGACCAGCTTACGCCTCCGCGGCCGGTCGGGGTCCTCGGAGGCGTTGGCGTCGCGCCAAACCTCGTGGGGGCTCTGGATGAGCGCTCCCATGCAGTCCAGGAAGCTGAAGCGCAACACCGAGCCCTTCAGCATCAGGACCGTGCCTGGGAGTGTTCGAGTCAGCAGGCGGGAAGAGGGATGTCATGAGGTCTGTGACTACAGTCAGTACCTGATTTGAACCTTGGTGTTATGCAAAATATCTCAATATGAGTTTGACGCATGTGGTCTGGACATTTTGTTCTGAATTGATCGTAATAGTGAGGTTCACTGTGCAAATGTTTTAAACAACACGTGTGAACAGACAGAATAACAAATATTAAAAATGGAGCATAAAACCACAGCTTCAAACACACAGACGAAGTTAAATACACTACAAAAAAACCCCAATATGCTTGAATAGATTCTTTTAGTGATGAGTGAATAGTTTTAATTGTCATAATATGCTTCTGAAAAAGAAAAAATGTTTTGATTCGTTAAGTCTTTGTCTTGCTGTTGCTGCTGACGAGGCTGAAAGCACTTTTAACTCTTCTGAACGGATTAATTAACGGGATTCCCAAACTCCGTTACAAGCCGAAAGGTTGAGCCCCATCTGCAGAAAAACTGTGTACGCATCCGATAGTTAAATGGGACTAAAGACCTCTGAGCGGTTCATAAAACCTTTGTGATGGAACCCTGGCGTGGTCGGACTCACCGCTGGGTCCGATTGTCACGGGCTCCTCCATCCTTTCCTCCTGGTCGGCAGGAATGGACAAGGGAATGAGAAGGACCATGCCTAAGCTGGTACCCACCCATAGACACGGGGTGGGCATTGCGTCACTCTTGCGCCCGTAGGACTCTCCGAACTGCAGGGTGGTGATGGCCTCTTTGGTGTCCCGGTCGATGCTGCAAACACTGGAGCTGCGCGAGCGACTGAAGGAGTTTTCACGGCTCTCTGTAGCGGCCCACAGAAGCACAGCACAGGTGGACAGGAGGCAAGAGGAGGGAGGGCGGGGGGGGACATCAGGCGACGACGGGAGACAGGGAGCCAGAGAGAAGACAGGCAGCGGAAAGGACGAGTTGCAGGAGTTATGGAAAGGGAACAGCGATGGGGCGGGAGAGGGAGCGAGGACGGTGGTGTGACAGCGATAAGGGGGAAGAAAGACAAATATTCACAGATTTGATAGGTAACGTAGGACAAAAACAAAAATGCAACGTGAAGACGTAATACATTGAGAAGCAAAGTGACATTTGCCGTTTAAAGAGACAACAGATTTTTACATTCTGAGGTGGATTCAGTGGCCCGGTAGCACAATCAGATGTGCCACACATGTCTTTTCACAGTCACACATACACACGCAGACAGACACAAACTAGGCAACTAGGCAAGGCCAACACACACTGGCTGTTGCACCAAATTTAATAAATTCCTTTAAGTCTGTGAGAGTGCTCCCCATTCGCGTCCTGCATTGTGAGCTTAAACCCTCCATCATAAAAAGTATTTCTGTATTGGTGCATTTCTTTCTGAATTATTCAGAGCCGGGCGACGTGCAGCACTTCATGCCCGGACTAATGTTACTCGCAGTGCAGACTTTACGTAACAGCAACTACAGATGCGTGCGAAGCGAACACATCAAGCTGACATTAAAAAACGACTACGACAGAAGTTCAACGTGTGCACTTTCGAGGCATGACGAGAGAACCGCAATCCAAAACAGGTTTGAATAGTCCTCCACTATTTACGGGGGGGGTTAGCAGTGCGCTGCGTTACAGATGGCATCACACCTCGGGACATGAGTACGCCATTCGAGGCCTTCCTATAGACAGGGCCACAGGACGAACTGACAGAGGGACTTGACGGGACGGACGTGTACTCAGCAGGACAGCGGTTGATGGGTGTGCGGCCGAAGCCCCCTTACCTCTCTCACTCCAGCAGTAGGGGGCGCTGGTGGGGTGCTCGTCGTGGGAGTACATAGTGACTCCGTGAAACTGCTGAAGCATTGCCCTCCTGGATGCATAGCCTACTCGTCCCCCACAACATGAAACCCCCATATAACAAACCACACCCCCGTCGTGGCCCGAAGGAAACACACACACACACACACGCACACACGGAAAGACCAAAGCCAAAGACCAGACAAGACGGACAGATGAACAGCAGAACCGGAATGAAAGAAAGAAAAAGAGAGAAAGGTCCAACTGAGTGTGGAGCTGGTGCTTCAGATATATACAGAGACAGAGAAACGGCGCCTGAAAAGGAGGCCCCTTGTTTATGTTTCTGGTGGCCACACAACCTGCTGCTGTGCAGCGCTGTTGCACAACGGCCGCATCTTTTTATTACTGCTTTCTCGGATACGGCTTCAACTACAAAAACATTTGGCGTGGATCCCAGTTTCCCCCGCCCAAAAAAAGAGGAACAAAGAGTGTAAGGAGTCGGTTTTGGAACCAATTTAAATTTGAGATGAAAATAAATCCTGCACAAATGGCACCACAAAGCTGCGGATGTCAAGGAAATTCTTGTTGATGCGTATTTTTTTTGAACAGTATCATTGAGGCACTTTTAGGAGAGATTATGGCATCATGACAACATGATGCCGCTGGCAGTCACGCAGTCTAAATAGCCTTTTGCTGTGAGCCTGGGCGGCTGCAGCTCAGTTTTGCCGCGTATCGCTGTGGTGTGCTGACGCTGTGTGACAGAGCCTGTGGGGCGCTGGCTAATGAAAGTCAGGCACAGTGGTGCTCTGAAAGGACACGGGGACCCCCGGGGGCCCTGACAGGGAACTAGAGGCGGTGTCAGCGAGGTGATAAGGGCAGCCAGACAATCTGACGAGCGTAGACGGACAAAGTGTGAGATTTATAAAGTGGTACAGGCGTGCACTTGTGCAGTTTAGAGACACAAGCACAGACACCTGGAGAGCACACAAATCTATTTAACATTTCAATCTACCACCAATAAATGTACAGAGCTCTGGGCTGAGCTGTGCTTTAATGAGAATCAACATATACAGTGTAAAGATGATGTACCGCATTGGATACACTTTCCAGTATTAAACTCTGAGCTTAGTTGGCACATAGATATGGAGACATATTTGACCTCAACATCCATCATTTTAACAATTAAGGTTAGTTAGTAGTAATTATGGCAGTGATCCAACATGGACATATTTTAGTATACAGCTATGAAATAGCAGGTCCACTACTACTGGACAGGTAGTGACTTGGGCGGAGTCAGCTCAGCTCCAAATACCACTGTTGCTCGCACTTGTGAAATGTGTGATATTATGTGTAAATGACCACCAGCAGTGTTCTTTTACTTTGATGATCCTGTTTCCTACTTTGATTTTATGTGACCTTTATTTTGACATCATACTATCTGCTCACGTGATCAATCGCTCGCGCTCATGCTCGCGCTCACGTTTGTTCAATAGAAGACACGAGAAGCCACGTTACAAGACAATGCAGGTTTAGAGCCAGAGATTTAAAAATATCGCTGTAACCTTAACTAAAGTGTTCTTTGAAGTGTTATATCATTCAGTGTTTTGATTAGCTTTGGCAGTAAACGTTTGAGAAAGACTTATTAAGTTGCTAGATAGCTCTCTAACGTCTAAATTAAGCTAATGGCGGCGGACTTCCCTGGATTACCACTTTATAGCACCCTTTGATATGCGGAGCGAGGTATGTGGTTCATTGTAATTGCATTTCATTGTAGGTTATTTCATGTAAATTCATTTCATATAATGACTTGCCTGCTATGCTGTTATCCATGTATGCTAAAGTGCATTTGTCAAAGGATTATTTTGTATCTGGCTAAATTGCCTTTGTTATTTCCCTTTTTAGTTTTCACGGTGTTGGTGCTATGCACACTCGTCTAAAATTAAAGTACACCCATCTGGAAACACTCCCAAGCCTGTTTATTCCAAGTTGAAAGGATGCTACATTATGTGATCCTATAACATGTGGGTTATAGTAAATACTGAATGTAGGTGTTACAACAACAACAACTCTCTCTATGCAAAAAAAGTCTTAAACAACCACTGCCAATTGCATGATCACATCTGCAGGCAAAGCCAATAGCAGACTCATGCACGTCTGTCTTCAATATTTAATAGGTGTGTTGCTGAAGACGGGAGGCATGGAAATGTAGACTGTACATCGAGTGCGTCTTCCCATGCCATTTGCCTCCTCGCCTGGCATGCAGGCCTCATTAACATCGGCCTCATCTCTCGCACCGTTCGCTGACCTTTAATTATTCTAGTAAACCTGCTGGCTTTTCACTGTGGTAACTCAGTGCAACTGATAAACAACGGCGCCAAGGGAAGGCAACCGGTAGGGAGAATGCAACAGTGGGCCAAAAAAAACCTAGACTATTGACACATAAAACGCACATTTAAGTGCAGACAAGGGCTGTTGTCACTTTATAAAAAATAAAAAAAATAACATGCGTCTCTTATAGCATCTGATTGACAATTTAAAAAATGTAGGGTGTTATTGAGTTATTATTGAGTATAGCCAACATTCTAAAGTGATGGATTCAATGGATCGCACAAGAGAGAGGGAAACTTTACATTTGTAACCCAGATTAAAAGCTGGTTTAAATGTAAACACAACATTCCCACGATTAGATATGTTCCAATACAATATCAGTATTAGAAACCACCCCAAAATCCTTTATTGGGCATCGTCAAGGTCACCATATGCATCAATCTGATAACAGGTTATCATATAGCTTATTTACGTCACACAGGAACAACACTATTCATCCTGATCCGACGGCATCCTATCTTCTGTTGTTGTGACGCCCTGCGACTTGCACCTGGCAGCCTCCGTATTCATTACACCCGACAGCATGGTGATTTTGGAAGCACGAGCGTACTCAGCAAGTTGCACACAAAGTAATGCAATGCAATGTAAGCCAAATTCACATTTCGGCCCTGCGAGGCTGTGTGTCCAGATTGGAAAAGATTCATCCAATTACATCCAAATATGGGATTAGACAGATTAATTATAGCTGATTAAAAATGTGAGTGGCCAAAGTTGTCCTTGGAACATTTTATAGGGTGAAAGGAAGAATCCTCAGCGAGCTGCATTGCAGGAATTCATTCTTCGCACTACAAAGTGAGCGTCTTTGTTTCTGTACAGGAATCGCTAAAAACAAGGAACCCAGAAGTCCCATCATGTCCAATTCTGCCCACTTTGATGACCTTTGTCAAATGATTTAAGCCGGAGCCACATTCTCCGAGTTATTTCAGCACAACCAGAAGGACACTGTGTACCACTTAACCACACAAAGACCAGGTTGTTATCCCTCAGACAGACAATTATATGCTTCTTTAGTGTCAGACAGGAGCCGCGAGGGTCTCGCTCACACAGTTTTTTCAGAGTTTTTCAAAAAATAAAACTCTAGGTTGTCGTGACCTGGTGCATTCAAGAAACGCCGCCATACTTATGAGACCAAACGTCGTACTACTAAGGTATCATTCATGTTGACAGATCGCAATGACCCTAATGCAGCCAATTAGGATTTAGCACAGTTACTCAGTAAGTCAGGATGGCGTGCAACGGGTACATCCATCTCTCTTTTGGTTACCTTAAATAAACCAAGCCGCTTCAGATGTCGAATCAATCAAGGAGGTCAGTTTCATAGGGATGTTTTCAGAGGTTATAGATGCATCAAAGCAACTTTGGAAGGAAGCGACCACGAGACCTTTAACAAAGCAGCTACAGCGCAGCCAGTGGCTTCACTGAGACATTCAGTCTATGCTAATTTAAAATGCCTTCCCTCTCAGCTCCAGGTCACTGTTGTTTGATGAGGGGTATGGAAGAGGGCCGTGTTGATTCTAATTGCAGAATTTTGTGTTAGAGGGGTCAACGGTGAAAACAGCACTGCTTACATCCTGTCTATTATTTAGAAGGAAATACTTTGGTATTTCATGTGTATGAAAATCCCTAACGTCTGCACACCTTTATTGTCTTTGGGCCGTGTCGCTTCTGCCTTCGTCAACAAATCCCCCCACTCCGTGAACCCCTGTTAAGACCAGCACATAAAAATGCCAAGGAGTATTTTAATGGGATTTTTTCCCACAATGTTTAGTTTGGAATATAGATATATAAAATGTCCTACTGGGACAGAATGTCAGGAGTCCTGTTAAGATAAAAGAGCGGTACCACATATGTACAAGGGTGTCAATGCACACCTTGAATTTGTTGTGTTGTTGTTTAAGTTCAAGATTTTATACAGTGTAGTTAAATGTTGATATACAATCCCGACAAAGAACATTTTTTTCTGTCTATTGTCTCAAAATGATGCTGGTGGTAGGATCAGGTTACGTTCCCACTTGACATATGCTTATTTGCTTATTTTAGACTGGGGGAATAAACCCACTAAAGAGCCTAAATTATGTATCCTTTACAACTAGGTTAACAAGTTGATGGTATAACATGTTCATAAACACACTCATAAATGCACACAATTACTTTCTATCACGTACAAAGGCTGTAAACACGCACACGCACACACACACACACACACACACACACACACACACACACACACACACACACACACACACACACACACACACGTCCAACTGAGTCAATCGTTTTTAGATGGGAAATGTCAATGTCAGAGTGGGAAGTATCGGATTTCAAATGAAGGAAAATAAATGTTCGATTTGTCATTGAGAAATGGAGATTATGATCGATGTTCTCTTGTGCTACTTAATCACAAATTGTATCTGTATGTACACTTAAATTGGTTGTTATAGTAACAACAACAATAAGAAAAAACTGTTTTTCTAACATCAATTTGAAGATAAAGAGTTTATAATCACGCACAAACAAACAAAGACGTGTTCGCCTCGGCTCAAAGAACGTGGATTTTGAGAAAGTCAGGAAGTGTGGCCACACTACATAAATATTGTGTGCTTCATTCCTACATACAAACTAAAAAAAAATAAAAAACACATCCAGAATCTATTTATGAGAAGGTAAAAAAAACATGGCTGAAGACAACTTCACTTAGTTGGGAAAAGTTAATCGTGAGATCTGTTGCAAAATTGCTGCTTTTAAAATCAAAATGAAGGTATGCAAAAAAAAACACTGGAAAGGAATAAAATAAACTCAGTTTAAAAACGTCATATTTTACCAACCTTCAGGAGCAGAGGACACGGTTGACACAAGCAACTATGTTAATGGACTCACTGCAAAGGTTATTTCTTGCATTCAAGAGCGGCAGAACCGGCAGTCCAGATGTGTTAATGTGATGCTAATGCAAGATGCAGACTTAAATGTTCACAGTGACCTTTGGCTTTAGCTACTAAAGCTAACATTAGGTCCATGACTTGGTTAAAAATGCCGTTTCTGGCCAACTTTCAAATGCCTCAAGCTGAATTGTTATTTAATAAAAATGATCTTGTTAACGGGATGTGAATGTAAATCTGTGATTTTTTATTGAATTGGACATACAAACTGCAACCTCAAACACAGTTTATATATTTTATTACACGTCCGCTTGTTTTTTTTGGTAATACAGAAAAAAACAACCTCCAAAACCCAGTTAGTGAGCCTACCACAGTGATACTAAGAGCTGCAGGGTTTAATTACAGTATGATGACTCTTTGTTGAAGAGCTTCAGTAAACACTCATTTATGATGTTTACATTGAATTTTCACGTTCACTGTGAATAGGTTTTTACACTGCTAACTCGCATTAGCATACACTTGTCTTTGTTTATGCATCAGGACTTAATCCACTTACCCCAGGGTGGTAGCATAGCATGCACTTGTTGGGAGGGAGGGAGAGGGAGAGGGAATGTTAAAGAGGGATGGGAGTCGGGAAGACAGGCACACACCTTCAGTGTGGGACACAGGCAATGAGATCTCCATGCAAGCAGCGGACTGGGCCTTGCGGAAGGGCGGTCGGCCAGGGCCTCTGCGGGTAAGCCGTGGCCCCTCGGGGCCCATCGGGACGCGAGGCTTGGGCTGGGAGGTGGGGCTAGTGCAATGTCCATTGACATGATCTGTAACAACGGCAAAGCATTAGCAAACAACACGAGGAGGGCAATAAAACTTTCATTTTCTAATCCACCACCGCGATATCCATCTTCATGTCATTTAGAAATCTTCAAATAAGGGCAGAGAAATATACTTATTTATGATGCAGTTCTCAAGAATATAGCTTGGGCTTTCCCTCCCTGTATGGATATTTGATTAAATAAAAATAACTGACTTATTACTATAAGTAAGCATTGAACTACATGACCTATGAAGATGGCTACTTTTGCAGCGTAAGAGGAGCAGGCCAATGTTGGAAATCTAGCAAATCTAACAAGAACTATTGGTGGTGAGAGAGAAAGGGAAAGCGAGAGTGAGTGACATAAGGCTGGAGAGTGGTTTGACAATAGTATGAGCGGGGAGGAGAAAGAGGCTGGGACAACAGACAGAGACAGACAGGAGAGCAAAATGCAGAGGCAGAATGCAGTTTCATTTCTGATTTTTTAGGTTTTATTCTGCTTTGAATGGAGGTTGATTTTCAGCAGAATGTGTCTTCTTCAAGGCAGGAAGCTTTGTGACATTACTGGCTAATCTAAAAAAAAAAAAAAGAAACGCAAAATCAACGAAAAGAATCTATCGCAATTGGCTGTAGACGCTGGCGACAGGAAACTCTTTTTCCATTTAGAAATTGTTGTCTTACACGGCCTCCGCTCGGGGACTGAGTTTGTTGCGATGTACAGTGTTTGTGTGTGCGCGGGAAAAAATGGATTAGTTTACAGCCAAAACTTGTTAATGAGTCAAAGAAAAGCAGAATCGTGTGTTTAGAATGCAAAACAAAAAAGGCCGACCGGCGGAATTAACATTAAATGACACCTTGCCTGTGAACTCTCTTTTTCGCTCGTGTTGACAGATGGGTAAAAAAAAACAGTAGCCTTTTCGTTAATGACATCCCTGTGGCAGAAAGCCTTTTTGGTTTGAAGAGGGTGTGATCAAACCTTTCAGCTATGAGATTCTCTTCCAAGACAAGAATGAGGATAATTAGTCCTAGTACTAATTCATAAAAACACAAGACAGTCTCTATCCGCTCAGCATTTTGCTCTGATCATTTGTCTGTCATATCATCGGATGCACAAATAATTCAATTTCCACCCGCTCCGCGTGCAACACTGGTCTGGTTTCACAGCAGGAAGGGCCGAGGCGATGCAGGGATTGAAAGCGGCAGGTTATATTGAATCGACCAAACAATCGCGAAGCCACGTGACAACGCCGCGGCGTGTCTGTCTGAATGTTTTGCAGCTGTGAATATTAAACAGACAAGCGGCAAATCAGTCACTTCCCCCAGAATTTTCTGCAGGAAAGTGATACAAATCAGAGAGAATGGACAGTCCTCCACACACACACTTGCCCACGCGACCATACACACATTTGCACATACATCCGCCCCAAACACGCAGAAAAGGTGTTTAGACAAAATATTTGGTTGTCATGTCCCACAGCTGATCGCATTGTATCTTTTGAAAAGACAAAAGCTGAATTAAATGTTCGCTGACAACATGCATCCTACTGGCACTTCATGGGCATGTTTGTATCTTGTAGGAAATGTAACACACTCAAAATGCTATTTTTAATCAAACCAGAAGCTTGACAAAGCATCCAAGTTTAAAGTTGATCATTTTTTATGCATGTTGTAACGGTCACAAAATGAAACCTTTTTTTTAACCTGTAAAGTCCCAGTAATAAGTAGACAGTGGCATTTTAGGTTAAAAGGAGCAGCAGACTTTCAAGTGGACAGGATGCATGAAGCAAGTCTGCACCTGAGATTGTGATGTGTATGTACAGTGATAGAGATGTATGGGGGGGGGGGGGGGGGGGGGTGCGCTCAATATTTATAATGCAGGTGATCCAGTCCAAATGGAGAAAGGACTGTCCAAGAAAGAAATGATCCAATTACAATGAGAGAGGTGGCAAGTGATCCGATCACTGTAGAGCAGGGCTGTTAATGGCGGAAAGGTTGTGTGAAATCAGAAGATGGTCCAATCATGATAAAAGCGACAGGAAATCTAAAATTTAGATACAATGAAATCGCCTTTTGAAACACTTGCAAAATGTAGAAGGGACATATACAGAAGATAGAAATCAAATCAGAATGCATTAGGGGGTAAAATGGACTAACACCTCCGTCAGACAGCCTCATGGGCTGGTGGAAAAGGAGAGAGTGACAAGGAAACTGAAAGAAGAAAGTTTGAGTGAGAATAAAAGCAACATAAAAGCCTGGCAAACATGATCAAAGCAAAACAAACTAAATGGCTTAAAGGAAATCAAGTGAAAACTGCTGGCTTTCGCCTACCGTACCAAGATCAGTCTTAAGATCTGTTGGCAGACTTAACTTTCTGCCGGGTCCCTTTACTGAAACAAAAGAATAGGAAACAAAGCACCAGTTAATCCCTATAAATAAAAATGAATAATATAAAGTTATGGTAGGTAGTAATCTAAATTAAAACAATGACAAACAAAAGTGCAAAAAAAAAGAATTTAAAATGACTAAAATCAAACATAGTGGAAATCACTCAAATGAAAAATGAACCAGAACATGCATACTGGTGCAGTTTCACGCGGCAGGCTTTTTTCAAAATGCACGCTCCGTTGTTGTCCCAGGCCAGTGTTCCCAGCTAACTCTGCAGGATCAATCATATCTACACTGGGTCAACTTAGCAATTTACATCCCCAGTACGGTACTTTTTTTTTTTGTTAGATTGCAAAAAAGCAAGAAGTCCCATTTACTGCACACATCTAAAGTCTGACTAACCATAGACATGTTCTCTCACAAAATATGTCAGTTTAGCCCAAAATATTTGTTTCGCTTCACTAAGCCCGTAAAATCTGACTTTCTAAAGGCCTGGGATGTCTGACACGGGAGCGCAAATCAACAGGGTGACGCCAAAGGTTGTCAATGCAAAATTCATAGTTAGACACGGAGGGCAATAAATGACTTCTTTTGAATAACATTTTGCAAGCATTCTGCAGAGGACTGCAAAAGGTCAAACTTGGGATGTCATGAGTCAGTTTTCCCACCAGAAAGAAGGCAATAATTAATTGTTTCTTTGTGTACAATGTGGAAGACACAGGATGGGGATTACACGAGAATGTGTACATTTCATAACCACAAGGAAAATAAATTGACTTTATTTGTAATTTGAACCGCTAACTTTAGAGTATAAAATATGGATTTAAGGTTTTAATTCTTCTGCTTCAGAGAACCACAGAAGAAAATAAGTACAGTGCAGGTTGGACTTTTTCTTTCTAATCTACTCTAATCAAATTCAATGTATTCCATTCATGCAGTTTATTTGCTGTGAATGACCATGTATGCTGCTCAGTATCAAAGGTCATTTTGAAGAAGAATGTACCTCGATTGTTGCAGGAGGAAATTGGGGGATTAAGGTGGACTCATTTTATTTTTCAATGAATACATTTTCCCTTTCACTTTTTGCAGGAACAAGTAGAACCTTTTTGAATAGTGTTTCAAATGAGATAATAGATGAGCTCTTTGTGTGTGGGTTTTCAAAAAACAACAACAAAAAAAAATGGCCAGATGATAAAATGTGCATTGTTGGGGATACAATGACAGAGAAAATGATCTCATAATACACCTGATATACTCAGATGTTTTTCTGTTTAACAGCCCAGTGGCTGCATGAACACATTATGAAATAAAATGTAATCAAAATAAATGTGAGATACCCGTGGGGCTGTTTATTTTCAATATGGACAATAACCAGCCAAACATGAATTACGTTTTGTTTGGTGCTCACTAAACTCACCTGGTCATTTTGGTGCATCTAATTATGACAATCTTTATTAAATCTATTTTGATAAAGAATACCATTATGTTCTATAATTCCGGTGATTTCTTTTCACGGCTAAAGAACAAATAAATCCAGGATGTTGTTGTTATTATCTTTATGTGAAAACACACTTGACTCTTTTTGTTCAACGAGCCCCGTGTGTGAACTCAGGCCTCTGTTTTCCACTCTGTGATTTGGTCACATAGAATTATTGCAAACTTTGGGGCTTCTTTTTTTTCCCCCATGTATTCGTCGCTGCGTCTGAAACATGTAAATCCAATATTTCCACAGACTGCGCTTCTTTGCTCTGCTCTTCTTGTCCTCTGCACAGGCCTAAGATATATTGAATTTAAACGTTGTTTCTCCCCAACGGGCGACAATAAAAATATTCCCGGATGATAACAGATGCCCGGGTGAGCCTCTCCTTGGAATATGAAACCCACCGTTAGATTAGAGGTAAACAACACTGAGAATCTGCCTCCAAAGCTCAGTGAGGCCGTGCTGTGAGCTACATGCAAACTTTAGTGTACGCAGACGCTCATCCCGGTGCCAATACTAACAAGCTGCTGTTTAGCTGCTACATGATCTGACTCATCGGATGGAGGCTGTGGGTATAAGTTAGAAGTTATCGCCCCTTCAGCTGTCTGCGCTATTTCTTTTGCAGGGCACAGCTGCTGCATCATTCAATCAGACTGACAGAAACTTTGGTTAAGATGTTGAGATAATTCACAAACCAAAAAAAATGGTGACTTCATGGTGGTACTGGGGATCATCGGGAGATCAATCAAGGTCAGCAGTTAAATATTTTACGGACCATGAATGTGTGCAAATCTTGCAATAGTTATTGAAATATTTGTCCTGACATAAGTGGTGAGTTTGCGGGGTGAAACTCACAGGAACACAGATAGCAGGGCTTAAACTAATGATTTTTTTCTTCCTGAGGTGCGAATAGAACTTCACGTGATTGAATAACAGTAACGTAGAGAATGCTGAGGTCACAAATGGGGCTAAACTCGGGACTCCATCAAGCCAAAACACTGATAAACATACAAAGCAAGCTGAGGTCACATCCATCAGACACAGCAGCTGATGGGCACCATGCAGTTAGTCAGAAAGGACACGGTACTGAATGTCAGCCGAGATGATGCCAGATGGGTTTGTCGACGAGTTCCAAAAAGACACGACAAGAGAGATTCGGTGCGTTACGGTCCGGTAGAGTAGCCCGTTGCCCTTTTGCCTTCAAAGATTGTGCGTTTCCAGTGGAGGCGCAATGCTTTCACGTCACAGAGAACGGAGCACTGAGGAGAAGGAGCCCGGCTGGAACAGAACCCACTTCCTCCTCCCCGAGCCCGCCGGCGTGGCCCGGATCGCCGAAATGACCGCCAGCGACTTCAAAGCCCCAGAGCAGACGCAAACAACGAGCGCAACCCACGTCGGGCCCCCACGGAGCTAATGCAACACTAGCAGTTTGCAGAAAGACACGGACCAAGGCGGCGACAGACGGGTCTAGGAAACACGGCCCCTGGCAGCTTGGTTACACTGCAAGCAACGCGGTTGATGGGTCATTCTGCTGTGACCGATCATTGACGCTTTTGGGTACATTTGAGTCCTAAAAGATATTTTTCGTTGCAATATTCAGTTATTTCCTGAGCCATTTGTATTCCTTTGTTTATTGTGCATGGCCAACGCACATTGGTAAAAAAAAGTTAATAGTGTCAAGCTCCCAAACGGGGATGAGAGCCCCCTTCTCACCTGCATCATTTCTTATGACGTTCACCTGGTTTGTTAAACCAGCAGTTTTGAACTCCTCCGCCACTTTTCACCTGCTTCGGAGATGCATTCTTCAAAAAGAGACATCCGCTTTACTCTTGACATTCACTGACTCTACTCTATTGTAGCTCTGTAAGGAGGGGGGGGGCGCTCTGTCAGTGTTGCTCACAGTGTGGAAGCAGAGTTAGCATGCAAGGAGCGACATCGAACAACTCACCTGTCCAAAAACAACCCCATGACCCCACCCTCCTCCCCTGATGCATTACTGCCATACAATGAAAAGAACCACACACACACACAAGCAGATGTCCACGAAGAGGCTGAAATCTGTGAGACAACCCCTCCTCTTACCATTGTCCAGCAAGTAAAAGACTGGACTGCAGTGGCTGGCTCTCAGACTGGCCACGGGCTCTGGGTGGACGCGCGGCTCATTGTGAAGGGAGGTTGGGTAATGAACTGGAATAGGAGATCCAACAAAACAGACAGAGACTTTTCAGGGCCACAGGGGAGAGACAAACACACAGAGGGCAAAGTAGGGAAAAGAGAGACTTACATTTGAGAGGTTATGAAAAACAGTGAATTAATAAGAAGGTTAAGGACCACGCTAACTCACCAGCAATATAACACTCAAAAGGTTTTAACAAGAAGTGCTTTGATGGTCACAAACAACAGCAGCACTACAACCACAAATACTGCAACTATGTCTAAAAACACCAGAATTACTAATCAAGTATTTCAGCAGTTCAGGTAGTGAATCCTCCAGATTTATAACGCACAACACTGTGACCAGAATATATACTCCTACATTCCAACAAGGCTTTTAAAGTATTTTAGTTTAGGTATTTTGAACAGACAACCAATCAACCCCATCATTTCACAGTTCCTGTGAAATACTGGACTACTTCTGTCATGAGCTCAAAAGGGAAACTTGCACAGCACCGTGTGTGTGAGTGTGTATATATATATATATATATATAGCTTTGTAGTCTGGAGAATACGAAAGATCCGAGAGGAACTTCACAGACGGGCGTTAAAAGCACAACGCTGTCTGCCGCCCGCTTTATCACCATCGACAGCACTGATATTTCAGAGTGTTGGTCAGGCCATATAGTCTGACTTTTACACACTAGACTATGTTTATCCCAACAAGCTCTCTGGCCCTGCACTCGCTGCTGCTGGGGGATTGGCAGCTTAACAAAAGGAACTCAATATCTTCAGTTTGCTAACAAATCACCCCATTTTTGGCGCCAGTTCAGCTTAGTTTGCTAGTTCATTCTACCTGCAGAGCCCCTGGCACTCCTTTTTCCAACAAATTAGTTAGTTATGAATGGGAGTGTGAATAATGAATCAACATTGAGATAAGGGTTACCACTGTAAAATCACAGGCATAATGAAGCAGGTGAAGTTAAGCGTATTTATTTGAACACATTTATGTTTGTCATAATTCATATTTTATTATACCTAAATCTATAAAACCTTTTGCTATGTATTATAAACGGTGGCGCAGCAGCAACATTTAATTGTAAAAACCTTTGGCAGACCTATTTTTTCGGCAAGCATGTTTTGTGAAGCCAGCTTGAGCTGCAGGACCAGTTTGACACACTGTAAGAGCCTCAGCCGTCACCTGCTCTCCTTCCTCTCCTGACATGCTCACTGCTAAAAATACCCCGCGGGGGGGTGATGGGTCAGGCCCCGATCACCGGCATCACGACCTCTCTGCTCGACAAGGTCCGTCCAACAACCGTACCCGGGCCAAGCAAAGTGTGCAGGAGATGAAACGCGCAGCCACAAACAAAAAACAACGGACCGTAGGAAATGAAAAAGAAGAGGAAGAATGGGAAGGATGTGGAGGGAGACAACCCTCAGGCAGGAGGGGGGGGGGGGAGAAGCCAATTACTGAGCCTAACGACAAAAGGAAGATGGGGAAAAGGGGTCATGTAAAAGAGAGGGAACAACGTGTAAAAGGAGAGGAGAGAGAGAGAAGGAGACGCCTGCAGTTGTTGACACGTGAGGCGGATTAGGACGACTGCTGGCTTCCTTAATAAGCTGTCCACAGCCTGTATATATGGCCTTGAAAAGACACCGCGCACTGGGTGGGCCAGGAACAGCCAGACAGCCACTAATGGCCTCACAGAACGGCGGAGGTTGATATCCAGCAGGAGGAAACCGTGAACCCTTCGCCCGTCGAGGGGAGCGCAGCTGTGCCGCCTAATTCGTGTCCAGCCAGTTTAAACGCACACACCGTGCCGCTCGCGCAATATTACGTTTTGAAGATTTATTCTCGGCTGATGAGAAGTTCAAGTTTGGTCACAATGCTATAAACCATTGTTAGCGTTTTTCGTCTTTTTCTCAAACCGCACAAATAAGGATAGCTCGTCCCCCCCCCTTTCTCCGGGTGAGTGCGTCAGACACTCGATCGCACTGCGTCACGCCGTGCCTCTCCATGTGCTTTTCATCCAGCGCTCCATTATACTTCCTTTCTTCCGTCTCTCTAATTAGCAAATGACAGGCCTGTAATGGGACAGAGTGACCATGACCTAGTCCGAATCACAATGCCGCAAGGCTCTCTGCCAGGACGAGAAAATAACATCTTGTCCTGCTTTTGTTATCCTGTTCTTATGCTCTCCCCACGAGGGTCTCAGAACCAGAAGGACGGCGGTTAAAAAGAAGAACCCGAGGGTGAGACAACAGATTATGTATCCTGGGCAACACTGGTTATCAACTGCGCTTCCAAAAACATGCAAGTGTTGACATCAAGTGCTGTTGGTTAATTAAAAAAACACTTTTTAACTACATAATACCTAATGAATGAGAGTTCATGCTGTATATAAAAGATGCCCGGACAACAGATCTACAATAAAGGTTCTTTGGACCTCGAAGGAGAACTTGCAACAGGGACACGTCTTTTGCCTAAACATCGGCTGATTTCTTGTCCTGTTTATCTGTTTACCCTGTAATAACTGCCAGTGCGAAGCGGGAGGAAGCTAAAAGGGTGAAATACCTCTGCTCTGTCATTCGCTCCGCACCGCTCGCTCGCTTCAAGCTCAGTCTTCCATCACAACCTAACCCAATGTTTTCGAAAGCCAAAAAAAAATCGAATGATTGCGAAGGAGGGATTTCTGAGTCACATCATACTGCCTCCTGGCAGGACGCTGCAACGGTACGTCCCATGCTGCTGTCCTGCAAAGAGCTTGAATAGGAGCCATGCCTGCAGTCAAGCAGCAAGTGGAGAATTGATGTGGCCGCTTGTAAAACCTTTTGTCCAAACCTTCACATGTGGGTAAGATGAAGAAGTTCAATTGATTTTCTGCAACACAGATAAGGTTCCGTGTTTTAAATCACACCGAAGCTCTGGGTTTTAGAAGCAGCAACCGAGGCGTACTTCACTCGCGCTTACGGCCGCGTACTCGGGACACTCTAGTATAGGAGCGGCTGCCCCGGGGGGTCTCCACCCAGCACAGGCCACAGTCAGGGGTCCTCCAGGATGGACGGCGTCCCATTCATACCACTCGGGATGAAAGTGGGAATTCAGCCGTTGTCTCACACGCACACACACACACACGCACACACGCACATCAGTTGCGGCCCGTTGATGTTCATGAGGAATAACACAAGTAGGAGTGTATCCCTGCTTAGCTCAAAGACACTTTGTGTTTAATTCCCCCAAAATCCTAAAACTCCCCCTTTGGGATGATATTTTCTCAGAACTTAGATGATGTAATTGGAGAGAGTTTCTGTTCTCTGCTGGCAGGTTTCACAGATGGAGTGCTATTTCTGGAGGCTCAAAAAGATATTGTTGAATTGTTCATCTTTTACTTGAGATCCCTCTCCAAAGCACGAATGTTGCCTTCAAGGCAAACCGTACAAAGGGAAGCCGCAGAGTGTGACAGAACTATGGCTCAGACCTGTGTTGGTGCTGCCATTGAAAAAGTTCCTCTCAAACGTTTCAAAGGTGTTATGTAGAGAGAAAGCGGCAGAAGTGGTTTTCTATAAATCAGCTGTCATGTGAAGCACAATGAGCCGAGAGGACCCAGCGTGTCAGCGTCTACAGCACCGGCACACTTTCTCCATCCGACTCTCAGGTTCTACATTAGCGAGAGAGTGTTTTCCCACAACACTACAAAAGTTCCTCTGAAGAAATCTCATTTCTCTTTTGCCTTTTTGTCTTATTTAATTCACAACGTCTCCAAACAAACAAATCTTAACACTCTTTAAACAACCACATAGTTGAAATCTATTGCATCCAAACTGGCATCTTGCAACCTGAAGAAGACAACAAAATAATAAATATAACATTGACTACATGTATTGATTACATTTATATTACATGGCTCACAACGCCGTTTGTCTCTAAAGAGACGCGTCTCGTTAATTATACATCCCATAGCATTTAATGCAAGTTAAATACTGCTACACATGCTAGCAGATGCAGTGTGAAGGAGGTTTTTACAATACATTATGGATGATACAAATGAATAATTTAACCAGATGTGAGAACCGTTCCGATCTGGATACTGCCACATTTTATAAACTGCATGTCATCATCACTGCTGGCCGTTGTTCGTCGGGCACTGGACTCTTTAGCCCTTCCTATTTCTTTATCTTTTACTCTCGATCCCACAGAACATGAGCTGCCGTGAAAGGTGTATAAGAAGAAGACCCGGACAAGTAAGATTAGGTCACATTAGAAGACTTACCGGAGGTGGGTGACTTGCTTCTCTCCATGTCAACGGACTGCTGGTTGTCAGAGAGTTCGGTAAGGCCTGCCGTGCACAAATGGTAGAAAACATCGTCGATCCGTGAGATTATTTTGACCTCGTCGGCGTCACGGATTTAACAAAAGTCACTTTGGTTGATCTCAGCCACGCAGAACCTCAAGGGAAAAAGCTTTAAAAAGCACATTGAATCTTCTTTATTATTCATATTTGATAAAATACAAAATAATTACTGGCAATAAACTCATCATTTGTGAAGGGTTTCTCATTTTGGACAATTCTTACATGACATTTCCCCTGTGAATGTTTCGTAGGATTTATTTTGGTCTTCCGGTGGCAGAGTGGCTGAGACCAGATGCGACCTGCACTGCAGTCTGTTCAATGCAGCCAATCTGCAACTTTGTATTTTGAATTGATAGACAGATTGCACTGAAAATGACTTCTATGAAGAAGTGTCTTCCGCCGCGAGCAGTGCAGATCTCATGAGGAAGTAGCACACACAATTAAAACACAAAACAGGACAAATACAAATTTGATCAGGAACCAATCAAATCTCATCACATGCACCAAGCACATGCCAGAATCAGAAGCTGTACGTACTCCTGTTATAGAAACCACCATAAACGTTGAAATGTCGAATTCCTCTTTTAGTCTGACTACAAATATCAGGGGCTTAACTGACATTCATTAGTTCTTCATTAACTGCCTCACTGAGTCGTCACAGTTGAAATAATTTGGATTCATTAAGTTATTTTTCTTTGGTAAAAGTTTGCAGCAAAACTTCTTAATGCAAATTTCCTTCAATCAGTTACACATGTTTTACAAAGGATTTAAGGCCCATGAAGGGAGTCTCATTAAACCTTTATCGTAGTATAAAATTAATCATCATTAACCAAACGCACGTATTTTGTAGTTTCACTAGGCCCAGCGGATAACAAGGCTCTTTATTCTCCCTGTTATGCTTCCGTTAAAATATACATCACATGGGTCATATAAAATTCATAACTGCCCTTACTTACAGACTCAAAGGAGTGTCTCCCTGCAAAGGACATACCGTTGGACATGACTGGAATAGGGCAGTTCTGTTTTATACGGTGAAATATAGATACAAAACAACCTCTTTCAATCCAATCATCTCTTTGGCTTGTCTCTTTGCTTCTAGTTCACATTATACACCATCCCCGAATCTCCACCCGCCGCACACAAACACAGAGTCCCCCAGCCTTCATGAAGGCCCGACTTACTCTGATAGGATGTACGGATCCTTTTCTTTGAATCTGAATAAAAGTTAGACAGGCCGCGCATGCAAAACTCTGTCAGGCAGGCCCGCATGCCCACACCAGCAACCACAGAGTCACCAAAAGGTGGGAGGAGGAGGAGGAGGAGGAGGAGGAGGAGGGGGGAGTAGTAGAGAGGATGGTGGGCAGGAATAAAGAGTGCAAAGCGTGGGTATAGATTTAAGGAAAGGAGAGATGAGGAGGAGGCATGACAGGAGAGGAGGAGACAAGGTGAAGAAGTAAGGAAACAATTATGACCGTAAATTAGAAAAAGAAGGTTGGATGGAGTAAAGGAATGTTAGGATGGTGGGAAGGGAGGGGAGGAAAAAGGAGGGAGGGAGGGGAGAGAGAAGAACACACAAGCTTAGAGAGGAAAATAAAGTGAGTGCAAGCAGCAACCGAGTTAGTGTCAGGGGAGGACAGACAAGACGTACCCGCTGCTGCTGCAAACCCCAAAGGCCGAAGTGATCGGCCATTTGCACAAGAACTAAACCACCGGGCCGGCAGGCGACATATCGTTGCGTACAAAAAGCATCAAAAATAAATCTCGTGTTGTGTCGAGGAATTGCTGTAAATTTCATTCTGTATACTTTTGGTCATAGACTTTCTGTCCATACATGGATTAAATGATGCATCACACTACAACTCGAGAAACACACCAGAAATTATTCTATGAAATGAATACAATCAATTTGATTGACACATACAGTATATATATATATTATACAGATATGTGCGACGACAGCTAAAAGTGATGTTTACGGACAGAAAACTCCCTGTTACATAAAGAGAAGAGACCAGAAGCTTAAATAGAGTGCCTTGGATTTTTCTTGGCCTTTTGGAAATGTTTTTGTCTCCAGAATGGTATCAACTTCAGCATAACAAGTGTTCAAGATCATAACACCACCACCTGGGGCACGACAAAAGGGCACAGGTGCCGTTTTCTATTTTTCTTTCCTTCCATTTTTAAATTGCTTCAAATTGATTTTGAAGACCCAACGCTGAGAGCCTTTTTAGAGTATAAATAAATATAATACTGTGGTTGTCAATAAAAGCACTTATGCATCAGCATGTGAAGAAAATGTGTTCTAATGCCCAAAGTCATCCTGAATACCTGCAAAACATCAAAGCTGTGGGGGGGGGGGGCGTTATACAATAAGAGACCTCCGTATTTTACGGACCTTACATCTAAAATGTCAAACGTTACTTTAGTGTCAAATAAGAGAGGGGCAGCTTGGGCATCAGTGAATACTTTGTGCGATGGCGCTGGATACCTTCACATTAAGTACAAATAAAAGAGCCTTCAGACAGCCTCAGCATCCATGGTCAGTAGCAGACAGGAGGGAGGCAGGGGTCAGCAAGTACAACGAGACCTCTGTGGCTTTTGACTAAAACTCTACGCTCAAGCAGGACTGAGAACACAAAGAACGGAGAAATCAAAGGACAACATGCATAGTAATGCCAACGTGGAGTGACACGCAGCCTGTTAACATGCACTGCATATCAGTGCAGATCTGTGACAGGCAGTGCGATATGTACAGGTGTGTTTTTGTCTTTGTGTGGAATATTGTGTGAGAGGAAAAGAGCAAAGAGAGCAAAGACGTTAGGTTGGACTAACACAGGTTTTTGAATGCTCATACATTTATTCCATATATACCATGATTATGCTTCGGGATTTTACTTGTTGATGGGCTATAGTTTGTACTGATAGACAAGTAAATGTCATGTAATCTGTTCTATTATTTAAACAGTGACAGAAGAAAGTATTATCAGCCTAAATAGTTAATACATAGCTTTATAATTTAATATCACTGCAGTTGATTGATATGATTACAAATTTAATTATTTATTTAAATAAGCAGAACCTTAAAATGTTTTATACAGTAAATCAATTTCTAACCCATAAAAGTAACATGATAGCTGATAAGACATATCAGCTATTATGTTATCACAACATGATAAGAAATTAAGATTCGTGGGATCTGGTCAAAATGTCCCTAAAGTGTCGGGGGAGCCGTCAACCCCAATTAAATTGGATGGATTGTAGTAAGGGCTTAAAATAGGTGGTATTGATCAAATATACCGGAAATATATTCAAACCAACGTCATCCGTGATTTCAGATTAAGATTGATCACATTCCCCCGATAGATCAGTCCAACCTTAAGAAAGATGCAGAAACGGAGAGGAAGGAGACAGAGAAAGAGGACAGCTGGTAGTCTGGATGAACGAACGACATAATAAGACACATTATTGTGTCGGTTGTGTCCGTGCATGTGTGCGTGAGCAGCATCCCGGGGGTCTTTGTGCGTGTGTGTGCTACCTGAGGTGGACTGTCTGTTCCTGCGCGGCGAGCGGGTAAGGCGTTGGTACGGATCGGCAGCTCCGTACAGATCCAGTGTCGACACACACAACAGGATGGTTTTCTGCAAGTAGTCCACCACGGCTAGGCCGTTACAGTTCCCGAACGCCAAGCTGGACACACACACACACAAACACACATATTCACATTTGCATTGGAGGATTGTTGGTAGTAATTTCTCTTTGTTTTTGAGCAAAAGTCATTCCGGGCCAAACCAGGAAGAGATGACGTACACGTTTTTTTTAAGCCAGCGATTTGACAAACACCAGGCCAAACGCATAAATGTCACTCAAGCTTGTTGTTGCCCAGTAAATGATTGCCCTCCTGTATCCGCCATGCAGACGTCTGGATCACTTTACATTACTGTCACATGGTCTGACGGTTTGCGCTGCGACAGCAGCAGTGCTGCCTCTGATTTAGAACGTTTTGCCGAATGTTTGGAGGGGCCGTGTGTCATGTAGTTGTATATAAACAACAACCAAAATACGACAAACATGATTACCGCAGTGCCGGAAAACCGCTAAGTGCAAAGGCGGTCGTGGTCAGACCCTCACACTTATCCAGCCTTTTAGCACAATGCGAGCCTTATTACACAAACAGCAAAAAAGACAATCATAGATGAAGGCCTAATGGCTCTTCAGGGTTGCACTGCTCTCCTTTCACATGCAATAACACGATTAAACACGCATTTACATGACGGACCGGCGTATCGAAACGTCCATGTATCTCCTGCTGCCAACAACTGCTATGCACAACGTAATATCTTAATCCATCCAATCCATCCAAGAAGCATAGTAGCAAACTTTAAGCTAAAAAGTTTAAGCTACCATTGCACCATGGAAACAATCAAAGGTTTCACAGGCGTTATCAATTTGTGCAAACTTCTCCAAACTATTTAGCTGGCATTGCTGAGTGGAACCGATCGACGGCAACGATGCCCATATTCCTACTCAGCAGACAGACGGACTGACGTACAGGCCATAGGCAGAGTTGATGTCCAGGCTGGTTATCTGTTGTGGTGGTTCTCCATCTAACCACAGCAGCTGGATGACCAGCTCTGCCTGGTACCCCGGAGGGACCCGAACCATCCGGTCCTTTACCCTGTAAACGAGAGTACAGTGTGATGAACGTACAGCGATTGGGATTCATCACAGGCAAACTGCCAATAATTGTGCATTTCCTGCTATTTCTACGGGGGAATTTCTGGCAACAATAATCGAATGATTTGTTTAAAAAGGGATTGAGATGTGTGTGAGGGGATCGTACTTAATGCACGGGATGCTGTCTTTGTTGCCCTCGGGCGTGCCGCCGCCGGGGCTGGCCGGGTGTTGGTGGTGGGCCTGAGGTGAGTGGGAGCCGGACTCGGAGAAGCAGGGATTGTTTTCATTCTCAGACGGAGTGATGATGTCCTCCGACTCACATTGTAGGCGGACCTCCAGTGACTGCGGGTGACACGTATAAAAGAAGAAACAGATTCAATCCTGCAGCAACAGTACTACAACGGCGAACTACCGCCATTAAATTAGTGCCATGCAGATGCAGCTTCCCGACATTGTCTGTACCGCATTAGCAGAACTCACTTTGAAAAAAAGGTCGGCACATTTTACGGAACAAGACATCTGAACTTACACACGTCTCACCACTCACCACTATCTGAGTGTTGGCCTCGTACTTGCTGAAGCGGTACAGGATGATGTGGGCCGAGATGCCAACCACACAGAAGATGCGGCTGTGGGGGCACCAGCTGACCATTTGAACAGCGAAGGGGTCTTCTTCCACCATCTCGGCCGCCCGGCCCTCAGCTGGCTTCGGCTTCTCAAAGGCTTTGGAGGTCTTCAGCTTGTACAACATCTGTAGCGTGACTGATTAGAGTTTGGTGCAAGAATATTATTTAATGCGTCCGTATTTGTCGGCGTGCCGAGAGGTTAGAATACTAGCTAACCTCCATAATACAGTAGCCACAGGCTAGTGAGGCTAGAATGAACTATGAGGGTCGGTTGTGCAGAAACATTGGGGTTATCGCTAAGCAGTAGATGCATAGAAAGCAAGCGGAGACCAGGGCGCGTGATGCAAACGCCCAGTCGCTTGGAACAAATGGTGACACTGTACATTTCTGGAAGGCACCGGTTGTCGGAATGTAAAAAAGACGCTGTTAATTCGAGAAAGCTGCGTAACAAAATTCTGTTTTGAGCAAAGCGTATCACTTCAGTCCAGCTCAGAAAGACAAAACAGCTTAGAGGTGTGACTTACTTGCGGATGCGTCCCAAAACTTAATTGATCCGTCAGCATGTCTGAATAAAGAAAAAGAATAGTTGTGTTAATTGACTCCAAGAATGGATCAGCTCTAAGAAAGAAATGCAGCGCAATTAACCACGTTCCAAATTCCCAACCGTCATAAAAGTCACAGCTATCTTTCATCTTGGCCGGTGATTGATGATTACTGATTTTAAACACAACACCCAGAGCACGTGCTTTAGAACCGATCAACATCTGTAAGGCCCGATGTTGTGCCGAGTCGTAATGTTAGTTGTAGCAACACACATACGGTCGTTTCCCTTTTCATTTTGAAAGGTGTCACAGCGACTTCCCCTCACAGCAGCTCGGGCTTCTAAGGAATTTCTAAAACGGGCAAAAAAAAGATTGCTATTGATTTGGCTGACGTACCCCGTGACGATGATCTCTGGGTAGGTGTTGGAGCCTAACGTCCACGTTCCTCCAGCGACTGGCCACTCCTGACACGGTGACACACACAGTGTTGATTATTTTAACAACTCGATCCCGTCAGCTTTTGCTTTTCTCCCACCGGGCCCTGTTCATGAGATTTTATTATGTTGAAAAACACAATGTAATCATGCTCGGGATTCTTGCTCTAATTTCCAACAATACGAGCTTTCATCTGTTCTGATTATAATGACTCACGTGTTGATGATAACCCATAATTTGCTTCAAGTTCATAGCAGCAATTATTTTGTCAGGCTGCTTTTTTTTTTTACATAACTTGTGAGGATTATTAAGATTGCAGTAACCTTGAGAGGCAAAAGACGTGGTGTGCGGTGAGGGAGGTAGAACTTCATACAAGCCCCTGCAAACTTACTTCACAGTAACTGTATAACAAAAAGAATCTGCAACCATCACTCAAAAGATTTTTAGGTTTTCTTTTACTTGGTTAAACACCTGAATTAACTAATGAAACGAGAAAATGAGACGAATACAGCAAGCTGATTTTCCCTCTCTCACCTTGTGGCTGTAGCCGGTCTTCTTGTGTTTAGCCCCTATCGAGTAGAGGATGGGGATAATGTCGGGCGGACAGTCTGCAAAATAGGCTGTGCAGGTAACTGGAGACTCATGGATGTCCATGGGGTAAGGATTCTCAAAGACAGGGAAGCTGCAAGATACGTTCATACGGTTATATGGTTAATGCCACCTTGTCAAAATGGGAAAAAAGGGAATTTGAAGTAAACAACGAGCAGATCATTGTTTCGTTCATCAGATGGATAGATGTGCTCACTTTATCCACCATGAATAATTCAATAAGAACAAGAAATGGATTTCAGGATCAGCATAACTAAAACGTCTAATCTATACTCACAGCATATAATCAGAGAGTAGGTGAGGTAAACATCCTTCGATTTAACAGCTTAAATGTAGTAACCTAATTAAGGCAACCTTATTAAAATCATCCTACTCACATCCCGCTGATATCATACATGCAGCTTTGACTAAGATGTGTTCATCTCTGTAAAACATACTTGCTCTGGGTCAGATCCACCACAATCAAGTCCTTCTCCAAAAGCACCACCACCGCGTAAGGCTCTTGGACCTCTGTAAGATACAAAGGCAAACTGAAAAGGATAATGCTTAATCCATATATACATCAGCTACAACCAAACAATAAAATGCATGTGATCAATTTTGCAACATTGTCGATTTACTTAAACCTAAAGGTGTGAAATGTATTCAAACTAGTGCAAATAGAAAGGAGCAATGGACAGAACGTGTTTCATCCATTACTGAGCAGTCTGTGAAGACTTTGAAGCAGACGTGATGCAACAACATCCGAGTTCAATCATTGCAAACACAAGATTCACCTCCTATTTTTTGGACATTTTTGATTCTTTCAAACCATGAAATAGAAAACACGTGACATCGATATGGTCTTACCGTTGTTGTATGGAGTCTCGCAGAGTGCCATGAACTCGACAATAGGATAGTCCATCTCCAGCACAGTGATGGCCTTGCCATGCATGATGGTCAACGTGGGCCGGCGCCCTGCCTTGTCGTACGAAAGGCCGCCAGAGAAGATAACAAAAGGCTCGCTGTGGCAGAGGGAGTAATAAATGAACAAACCAATGAATCAAACAGTGAAACCATTTTATGGATGGACATGTATGATACAAGACATGCCCCTGGCACTATAAACCGCTGAACAAATATAATAGATGTGTGAAGAAACAATAATGATGAAAATCCAATCAATATGTGTGTATAAATAAAATAAATGAAATAAAAAATAAATATTACTTGGCATTTCATCAATTTGAATGACAAAGCTTTTAAACTAAATTGTTTATTTCTAATAAAACATTTAATTACACTTATAACTCCCCATTTTGAGGGACTGAATTAATAAAGTCCTTTTTTTTTACCAACCTTTGTTGGCGTTTTTTGATTATTGGGGCGTCATAGGGAACCTTCTTTGTTGATTCGCTACACGGTAAAATAAGGATCCCTGTGGTTGTGTTCAAATCATCACTTTGGGGCAATCACTCCTTAATCAATTCCGTGTTTCCAATCAGGAAATCTGGATGTTGTTACTTGAAAGCACACACACACACACCTGTTCCTCGAGGTCTTGTACTCCACTTTGAGGATCGGTTTACACGACTCCTTTCTCCCGTCCTTCTGTATCTTTCCTTAAAAATAGGAAAACGTCAAAATAATGAATGACATTTCGATTTCAGTGCAAAACCACACTCACAGAATGCTGTTTGTTGATTTCCGCTCTCCACCGTGAAACTGATTGATAACTTCGCTCCCCAGGTTTGAGAAGTGGTAATTAGACTTCCTCACAAACAGCCCCCGGGGAGGGGAATTGGCAGCCACATCTCCTACGTTAGTGTTGAACACCAGAGGCCTCCTTATCCCCCACGCACAGGCGGGGCACAGAGAATGAAAAGCTCATAAATGGATGAATTTCTTAAGTAAACTTAGGAGGGCCAAATTGTTCTTATTAACTTTTACAAAAAAACAAACAGTAGAAGGCGTCCTAGATGGAAATATTAAAACCTGGCATGGGATGTGCAGTGCCCAGGTAACTGTAGCTCTACAGACGGTGGTTAAAAGAGGCTGGATTGAAACTTAGTTCTAATTAGCACCATAAAAAGAACTTTCCTTTGAATGAGTAAAGCTTTTTAGCTCTTACTTGGATAACTGCCTACTGGGTTTCCAATGTCTGTTTTTGGGGGAACGGTGGACCATTATCCGAGAAAATTACCCAGGGTGTTTTTGTTCTTATGCTTTACAAAACCATTCACGGTTACGGCTTTGATAGAAAGAGGACGTCTCCCGGTTGGAGGTAAGTGAGACCGTGGGTTTTACCTCATGGGCATAACAAAAGCCTCTCAGCTAAATGGAGAAAACACGACAGAAAAATCACTTCTTGACTGTGATAATTACAAAGATATTATAACTGTAACATGCGTGGTTGAGCAGCTATAGAACATGGTTGAACAAATTAAAAGCCTGCCTTTAACAACACCTGTGCGTCATCCATCATGTACTACAGCTCCATCTTCATCATATATTTATATTCTATAGTTACGTTGTTAATAGCGATAGTTGTTAAAAGTTTATTTTTATTGTACATCTTTTTTACTGTTTTTGTGAATTCCTTCATATTCTCAAGAGCGGATATATTTACCAGTCTTATTTTTCATGTAATTTTAGCTCCGCCTTTACCTCCCCGTCCCTTCATTCTTGTCATGTGTAATTCCAAGTATCTGGCATATAAACAATCTTGTGGCATTTAACCACGTCTCCTAGCCCGTTGACCTGTCATTCATCGCCCACGTCCTTCCCTCTCTGTCCTGTGATTTTTCCCCCGAGATCACTGCCAACAACGAGGGACTATTTGTCACCATAGATCTGACAAGGTCAGGATGCCGGATTATATTGTTCTTTTTTGCTGGTTTACTTTAATCTTATTTAACTTTATCTTATTTGATTCCTATATCCCTCCAATCAACAAGACAAATTCCTGTATGCGTAACATATGTGACACTAAATGGCTTTGGATTCTGATCTCATTAAAGCCATTGGGGAAGAATTCCCACCTGACCGCCCAAAATAAGAAAAATAAAGGCAATGACAAACATCAAAAACCACAGCGACATTTTCAGATATACTTTGTATATGTATATACACACTGTAAATGTGCTCTGCAACGAGCGTGGACTATTCTAAACACAATAAAAAACTCAACCTGTAGACAAACGTTGATGGATGAATTCATTCAACCATAGATACATTCAATCAGCGGTTTATGTCGGTTTGTTTAACTCCTATTTGCTTTACTACGTTATAGACATTTATCTAAGCTGCAATGTGTTAAATATTGAAAAAAAGAGACTTAAAAAACAAAGTGTGCATGTGTGTCTCACCATGAGGGAAGGTGACCTGGAACGGCTTGGTGGTGTTTCTGAGGTTCCACATGGACAGGCTGCCGTCTGAGTGACTGCACATGAACTGCTTCCCTTCATGATGCCAGCCGACTGAATGGATGGCCTGCACCGGCGAGACGGAGGGAACGGCTTTCAACAAACAGGCCGTCTACTGCGTTCGTCGAAATGTTAGCTTAGAATATGGTGCAGATTATACTGCGTGCGTTTGTCACTTTGCGATAAAGTCACACGGATATGAAGTGAAACGTTATCCTTTTAATATTCTTATTATTATAGAGTGTTTTCTGTTGTATATTTATTGTAATATTATGGACCCCCATAAAATGCAATAGTTTTCTTGAAACGGCAAAGACAGAAATTATACAGCTCTTAATAAATCCCCACTGGACATTTGTATCACAAGAGGGTTTTGAACCCCACTCTGCACAAACATGCCTCATTTTAATTATAATTTACTGTTCGCTACGCACTGTCAAATGTCAAATTGCACTGTCAAATTTGTCATTCATACTGCCTTCTTGCTGCTGCTCGAACAAGGACTTCAGGCAGATATCGCTGAAATAGATTATATTACAAAGAAAACAAAAAATGTTTCCTTTAACGTCTGCGTGACATTACAAATATTAGAAAGAAAACAAATGCATTTTTGCTTTAGTTACTTAATGCCGGAACGGTGTAGTTTACCTCGTCATAGTAGATTCTGAAGTCGGCTTTCTTGCCCCGGAGGTCCCACTGTACGATCGTCCCGCTTTCAAACCCTATGAGCAGCTGCAGAGAGGATTGACAGGGAATGAATAAACAGAAAGCCATGAAAGAGATGTTTCCATTGTCTGAAATAAGATGACGAGCAGATACAACACCAGCGGTTACCGATAAATTGGCTGAAACGAAGCAGATCCTTATTTCCCTGTGTCACCTCAATGAATACGTGTCTTACTCCGTCCTCTTTTGAGTCTTTTTCTTATTTAGAGAGAGTTTTACAGAGAACACTCAGAATACGACAATGTCAAATTGTCAAAACTACTTCCTGTATAGTAAGACAGATTGATGTCCAGAGCGTCTTTTTGCAGAGAATGTCTGAAAAACGACATTACATTCGGCAGACTGCTGTCGTTTTGTTTATTTCGGATTCAAACACATGTATCAATGAAACAACCTGACAAATAGACACAGAGGTGAGCGAGGGAAGCCGACGCAATCTGATCACAGATCAGAGGTGAACGGGAGAACGGGCACATCCTTTATGACACAGTGTAAAAAACAGACACGAGGAGGAAAGCTGAGGGCAAGTGAGGAAGGGAAAAATAAAACGTCTCATAAACCATCTGGCAACGCTGAAGCTCTGTCGACTCTGTTCTCCCGTCCACGTCGTTTTGCTTTCATGAAACGTGAAATATGGACAGGATTATTATCGCTAAAAGGGTTTAGTTGAACCACTTCCAGGGTCTTGTTATTATGAATGCTGACCAACACACGAGACTCACTGAGACACCTAAATGTAGCCGAGCCTTCGCTGATGTTGTGAGTCACACCGTCTCGTTATTCGGGTGCCACTTGAAGTCACTCTTCAAGGTGAATGCTTTCTTTCTATTAAATAGAAATTGTCCACTCTGATCGCTTTAGTGAGACGAACATGCGTGATGTCATCAGCACTCGATTTCGCTAAATCTTCAAAATGTCCTCGACCGACGGCGGCGTGGTGGCGTTGTCGGATGTTTGATTCCCGAGCACAACGTGCAACGGTCTGTGAGAAACATGAATACACGCAGGTAAGATCCAGCTTTCCAGGGCGGGAACATGAAAAAGTTCTAATGCCTCTTTCAGCAAATGGTCTTTCCTGGCAGCGATTGACGGCGGCGTGCGGCCGTACACTCGTGTCTCGTTTTCCTGCCTCCACCGCTTGTCATGTTTCACACAGCGGCAGCCAGTTGCTTTGGGAAAATCATCGGGCCTTTCCCCCGCAGCGGCCTCCACCTGCCACTTTTCCAAAAGAAATTGCGCCCGAAGCAGCGGATTGACGCTTAAAAACTCGACTCTCCTCAAAGGATATTCACCCGTTCCTGGATGGATCGTTTTTGTTTCTGTCATGCAGGAAGAAAGCCATGCTGAGAGAGTGGGAGCGGACTCATGCGGGGGAAGGCAGAGGGGGGGGGGGGGAGGGGAACAGATAAGTGACACGGGAAAAAAGGGGGCCTTGATTAAACTCGAGGCAGAGACCCGGGAGAAAGAAAAGAAAGGAGGACCAGGAGGTGTTGCTGGTGTTTCTTTAATCTACCTACTCACCTTGCCTTCGTCCTTTGGGCTGTCGCTCAAATGAACTACGGGTCCTGGATGGGTTTTAGTTGCTCTGGAGGAGGAGGGGAAAAAACAGCAGCGTTAATGCAGTCAAACGAGACTGCGAGAAAACCCTTAATCAGAGGGAACATGAATGAGGTTTTCATTGTGTTAGAAGCTGTTCAGGCAGTCAATGTAGTTTCTTTCCTTTTTTAATGGAATGTATTGGCATAGTCTCATTAATCACCAATCAGAGTGGTTTATAATCCACATACATCCATATACACACACTCAACATCCCATGTCCTTGGCATCATAGGAAGCAAGGAAAACAATTCAAAAAAGGTCTTATATAGACGATGGAGTGTATTCATAAGGGTAGGGAAAAAATGAATAAACATATATATATATATATATATATATATATATACACACACACACACACATAAATAAATAATCAAAGTAAATAGTATTCATTTAATAAAAATGAACTAAAAGCAGAATTCTCATGGATTCCTCATAAGCTGATGATTACTGTGTAGTTTAATTTGACTTCTCTTTGAAATGTACTTGCGGTGCATTAGGAATGGATGCATCAATAAGAGCTGAACAAAGAGCCCCACTCCTCTGCACCCTTGTAACCCGGTAAGAAGCCCCGGCAGCTTTGTTATGCAAAGTCAACGCTAATCCTCTCGCTCAGGACCTAAACATAACCACAAATGTCACAGTCACAACCTGTTTTGCCTTTTACTGCTACATAACCTGACCAAGAAGAAAATATGACTTAATGCTGGATTTTACTGTAATGAAATCTACAACCAAATCATCCCAGAAGACACGTATGTAACGGATTCATTGATATCATCTGTCAATGAATCAGATGAGATGATAATCCATTAAATGCTTTTCCAGAATGGATAGGAATGTCATGGTTTATTGATTAGATGTTCTCTAACCCAACAGTTTCTGCAGTACAATGACTTAATTTTCCAGTTAAGGGTGACTGATCGAAAGTTTCTTAGCGTTTTTAGTCAAGCATGCTGGTTAAAGGCGATTAAAAAACTTTATTAACAAATCATCTCCAATACCAAACATTGGTGCTGGAGCGCCACAATAAGGGAACGTCAAAAGCTAATCCTCCTACAACAGCCGTGCAGAACGAATTGCAAACTAAACGGAAATATAATTCCTGCTGTAACATTACGCCCTTGTGACCCCGGACACCAACAAACCAAAATCGCAAGCACACAATCGTGACGCACCGTGACACACTGTGACACACTGTGACACGCTCGACAGTGATTTCTTTGAGTTTACAAGTTATTGAGGTGTTGCAGAGGAAAAGTTTCCTGCAGTTATTAAACGCCGGATGGAGTAGGATGCGACCGGGGGGGGGCGAAGGTTTGCTTTTGTGTGAGGAAGGCCGCCTTTTGACGAGAAAAGCTTTCAGACGGTGAAGAAAGATATTAGAGCTGAGGAGAGGCGTCGACTGACTCGGCGGCTCCGGATAAAGTTTGGCTTTCAGCCTACAAGGACAGCCTTTGAAATACTCACAATAGCCAATGAAAATGTTTTTAAGAAGAAGCGATAAATAAATTAATGAAGAGTGATTGCTTAGGCGCCCTGGAGCAATGTATTCAGAGACACTGTGTTGTTCAACACGACTCTTACAATTCTTAAAGACAGGTGCTGGGTCACCCATTACTTTATTAATGGTTTCCTTTAAATATCAAAACTCAACAAAAATGGTTGTTCTGTCGGTCAAAAAAGTATCTACCCAACAGACAAATTGAAAATGTGGGGCAGGTGAAGTGTTGTGGTTTTAGGGCTGTGAGCTTTATCTGGTTATTCTGTTTGGCATCAGGAATGTGGAGGCATTGTTGCGCTCTAAGATGATGAGAAAATGATCCAGTTGAGAAGCTGTCATCGAAGGTGCCGGTGTCTCTGTGTGAGGGCAGCGTCAAAAAAGCACAAATTATTCAGCATCGTTGCCTGTTGCTCGCCTGCATTTAGCGCAGTGCAGTCATCTAGAGAATAAAACCCAAGGCTATACAGGTCTATGGAAAACAGATTAACAGCAACTAACAGAGACGGATCACAATCACTGCCTCCTCATGGACCTTCAACTTCACTTTCTCCAGGCAGAAAAGGTGACTGAAAGATCAAAAAATGAACAATGAGAATCCAGGTCTTCAATGAGTCTGAAGGTATACTACAAACTTTTTTTCAAGGAGCTGACTTTCTTTCAGCCCGGGGACACGACATTGAGACAGGTAATCGCTTTTATCACGAATTCCGTCTCCATCATGACTTCAAAACGGAGAAAGCGCCCCGAGTGATTCTTAAGTACTGTAGCAGAAGGAGATTGTCTTCTCGGGAGCTCTGGATCTTAAATTGTGCAGCCTGGTGAATATTGGGGTTGTCCCTCAGTAATTTGGTCCGCATTCCCCGCAAATTTCACTATTCACGGCTTTTACAGGTTGATTTTCACTCACTCATGTGTCGGGTAAGAATAATCTTAGCTTAGAATACAGTTTAAATGTTCTGATAAAGCACCAACGGGACGTAACAACTCGCACATTGAAGCAGACAGGGGTTGCTGTTGACATGCATTTCTGGAGCGTATCCTTGCATTTGCAGAAGAATCTCATTGCTTATTTTACAATCTCAATAACAGAAACAGCCAAACATGCCAATGTAGATTATGGCCAGGCGTGGGCAGAATTCCGCTCATCACGAAGGATCTATGAACTGAAGCAGTGAGCCGCATGCTGCCGTGTTTTCCCACTTCTCCCCGCATCTCATTTAGGAATGAATTTCCTGAAGATGAAATTGTGCATTAAATATGTTGCGAAAGCCCATTTGAATATCAATGAGGGCCCCCGGCACTGCGGTTTGGGGCGTAGTCGCCCCAGTTGAACTGTTGCTATAACAGATTATTTTCCAGAGAGCGTGCTTTGGTACAAATGAAATGAACGCATCTGTCAATGAATGTCACGCAAACAAAGGCTGCGAGAACACAACTGCACACATGCGGAAACGCACAACAAATACTGTGTGACGCACACAGTAGAAAAGGTGGATGTGTCCGTTGCTTATTGGATGTTCCACAGCAGGAAACACAGAAAAGTCCCTTCTCATCCTTATTCATGTTTAGTGGAAAAACTCCCCAGTCGCTCTGGTTGATGCCAGAATATTCATTCTCTTGTTCAACTTGCAATGAAGTTCACTTCAGAAAGGTGCTGACTTGTAGAAAATAAAAATAGAGAATACATTACAGTGTATGCTAAACCAGAAGCCAATACGCAAGGGAGAGAAACCTATTGTTATGATGGTTGTTTGCTTAAGCCACCAGATCGACCGTCTTTATCCAACGTGTGATAATGCTGAATGCGAAAGGTGTTTTACTTTCTATCGCTGGTTATTTTCGACAAATTGCACGAGTATATGAACACTTGATGCAATCTGTCTAAACAGCGTCATTAGACACCTCAACCAATGAGAGCATTTGGGGGCGGGCCTACTCCCCTTCACAGAAAACATCCGCTGTGTCCTTGGTGTTTGACCTCCTCACTCTGACAGGGACACTAGTGAACATAGATCATTTATATGTAGGTGGATTATTGATGGATAGACAGACAGTGGGAAAAAAGTGCTTATGCTGGTACCTGTTCATAAAAAAAGAATACAGATTTTTATGAATGCTAACTTGCCTGTTGTGATGTTATGATTGTGGAGGGTAGCTTGTTATTCCACAAAAAACAAGATGAAACGTTAATGAATTCATTAAGCAATTAATTGAGATTAATCGCAGAGATTCATGCAATTAAAAATTGTAATCACTGCCCAGCAGTAGTCAGACCACATGGTGCACAATAAAACGTTTCACGCCCTGGGCAACAATAGACTTTCACTCTCCCGATTGTGCTTTTGGGGGGCTCCATGGCTGCAAGATGTTTATATCTACTGCACATCTGCAAGTTTAATTTTCTTTAATAAAATTTAAAGCTAATTTAATCCAACACTCCTAAGAAGCAAAAGCGCTTAGGCATGTCTCTTTCTGGCTTGACAGTTAATTTGTGCAAAAAAGTTGCACTCGACTACCGCTGTGCAAAGAACAAAGCGTAAAACAATTTGCCGACCTAATTTCCCCCAGGAAGTTATTAAGTAAAGCTGGTAGAGACCAAATATTGTGAAATTGATGGTAAATGTAAAGCGTTTCCTTACCGGACTAAAAGGCTTTGACCAACTCACACACACATCCACACACCGATGGCGGCTGACCCACAATGCAAAGCACCTGGGAGCGATCAGTGTCTTGCTCAAGGGCCCTTCGAGATGTGAACAGGAGCGGCCGTGGATCAAAACAATGACCTCAAAGAACAAGGCGCTCTACTTTCTGGATGGATTCATCTGCAGGCGTCAAACTATTTGAGTGGGATTATACATTTCTGTGTGTTATTCTTATTCAAGTCTTATGAGCAACCATGACCATGATTTACTTCACATTTGTCGGGGGCGACCTCATGAAGGGTTTTGTTGAATTTGGTGCAAGCAGGAGCCGAGCAATTGGCCTTTGAGCAGATCGTTAGCAGAATGTGGTGCCACAGACATACATATTGATTACACAATAGAGCACAAAAAGTTCCCACTCAGAATTGGTATGTTCAAATAAAATGGAAGGAGTAAAATATAGCGTGCTACAAAATGAACAGGAAGTTATTATGGACGCTAGACATGTTCTTTTCCAGGGAACGAATGTACGATGCATTTGATGCCATCGTCACTTGAGTCAGGTAGATTGTAACGTGACTTTTTTTTCCAATTACGTCGAATTTCTGTTTTCATAAAGATGAATTCAAATTTTTCTTTTGATTTTTATCAATTTTCAGGCAACCTTTTGACTGTATTGGGATTTCTTTTTGCAGGAAAATTTTATTTGCTCATCAAGTAATTGATGAAGTCGTAAGCCTACAGACTACTACTCACATTTCCAATCATAACATGGAATGAAAACCGTTATGGGCAGAAAAAAGTAGTTTTAAGTTTATGTGCAATACCCAAGAAAAAAAAGCCCTCTGTTCACACCGCGGTGACAAATCAACTAAATATTCGGTTCAAATCCCAATTCAAATCCCATTCACTTTCTCAGCCTCCGAGGCTTTCACAATGATTGGCGGACAGATCCCCCCTCCCCGAACACATCAGGGTTATGACTGCTCACTGTGGTTTGTGCTGTCAGGAGGCAACGCGATGCTCGGTTTGAGAGTGACTTGTGACTGACACTGCAGCAGGGGACTTGTCGGGGTAACACCAGGAGAAGGCTGCGTAGGTGGGTGAAACCAACAGATACGCAACTGAGCACCATTTGTGTACTTCATGGCCCTTGAAGCTGTTCATCTGCAGCATATTTCAGCCACATAGTAAAGACCCGCAACAAACAATAGTGCATGTTGACACATGAATAAAGGCTTCTGTTGACTGATTCCGCCCTGACGTGAGGCATTACCTCATATTGACGACCAGCTGGGAACATTAACGCAATGGAAAGAAAAGGCTGTTGAAGCAATTTTTTTTTTCTTTCCAGGCGTTAAATTGAGATGGATACGTTTTAACAATTAATGCATGAGTTTTTAAGACTCATATAGACCATATATCGTTTATAGATTATATGGGTGAACCAAACTGAATGAACAAACATGAAATGGCCTGCCTCAAGAAGCCCATTTCAAAAACTCACCTGTTGAAATAAAAAGCCAACTAATTAACCTTGTGTGAGGAGCTGATTCATGAACCTGCCGCTAACTCGAAGGTGTCAGAAGGGGCGCGAGGCTATGATGAAACATGTTGTAACTGTTTAATTTTAAGATTTGAACCATGAAAGGCTTTAGGCCAGACTTGAAGCTTTCAAAAAGATTACTTAAGACATCTAAACATGCTTTTAAAACATAGTTTACAAGTTATTTCTCCTCTGCCCGCTGTTCATTCACATCCAGCATTTGGAGCATGTAAAACTTACAGTTCTATGGCCTTGTTCCACATAATGACGTATCCGGACAACACGAAGGACTCGATGTTAACGATGTGCGTGTTTCCACGCTCTGTCCCCACATACAGCCATTTACTCATGAAGGGAAGGTGGCAAAACGTGATCCTGGAAAAGAGGAAACAAAAGAGACGTGTTAGAACACAAACAGTCACAGAGGAGTCGATGATTGAGTTTGTTTTAAGGATTACAAAGATCACTAGAACTGAGATTTTCACAGATTTTTTTATTTATTTGGTATTTGGTAAAAAAACAAGTATTTGTCGAAGCAATGAATGGAACAGGCATGAGCGATGAGGCAGTAGTTAAGTGACACTATTTTGGGAGAAAAGACCAGGTGATTAAAGCTGCGTTCAAGCCATGTTCTTTTACATAAAAGTCAAGTACACGCTGACTCATTCAAGGAAGTCATTGCCGGAATTCTCAATTTTTCCACTTGGCCGGAAAGTGCAAATCTATTTCCATCCTTACGTGTAGTTATTCACATCACCTCTGGCATCCCTTTATAATGTCATATCGTGGGACAACGCTTGGATTCTGAGAGCCCCAGTCTTTTCCAATACCTTTTATAACATGTGGCATATCGAAACAAATCTTTATTGCTCTAACATTAGCAACCTTCATCTTTATAATCACCTTCACCGGGGAAGAATGATCAGCACACACCAAGTCACTCCTGTCCATGCTGATTACCTCATAGGCTGCAGCCCCTCAGCCACCCACCCAGCGAGGGGCAGGATTATTAGATTGAAGACAAATGAGATGGCAGACAATTCGATAAGGATTTTAGTCGCTCGGGGAGATGACAATATTATAACTGGCGGGAGGGGGGGATTATGCAGTCATTTGTCTTTGACAACATGCATTTAGTACTAGCACACAACATGCACATATTTCTTTGTTTGAGGGAGTGTCTGACCTTTGAGCGAGAAGGTCTCATTATTTTACACGGAAAGCAACCGACAACATCTGAAACGCTTCCTAAACTTACGTGTTCAGGCACAGGGAGCATCTAACTATGACAATGTTTTATCCCTGTGTACAACTATTCATCAAAAACTGCCCTATTTCATAAACAGATCTGCAGTAACCCAATGAGTCATAATGTTGTCCCAGTAAAACCAATGGGCCTCTATAGAGAAGCCTCTTAGCACTGATTGCCTCTGCTTTGAGCTGACTGGTTACAAAAAAATTCTCAGCAGGGATCTGATAAAATATGTGGGTTTTGGGGGGGAAAACTTCAATGAAAAACAGTTTAAGAAAGATGAAATAGAGAGGTAAATTTGGACATAGTCAAAGGCATAGTTTTGTCAGACCAGGCACCGTCAATGCCTCTTATAATTATCAATTGTGGAGACGTGGGTCTGGCCGCCAGCTGACTGCTATCCAGGAGCTGAGAACCCTTAATTAAGTAAAAAGATTTAGAGATTAATTGAATTGGTGACATCATGTTGGGAACCTGGTCGTTTCCTCTGCAGGAGACATGGACAAAATAGCTCGGGGAATTCATGTTGGATAGCACAGAAACACAGATGCTGAAAAGCCTCTTTACAATATGCAAGGAAAACACAGAAAGCCTCTAACGTATTGGATTGAGGTACATGTTTTGTCAGTCGATCACGATCCACTGACGGTTATCACACAAACATTCTACACCTCATTTCCAGTGATTAAGAAGTCATTCTTGGGGGATCGTTCGGGGTGTTAATTGCGAGATAGTCCGTCTAGGGAGACGCAGCCTAAACGGCAAGTCGCTGCCGGGCCTCTTGCAGATGACTCACGATGCCCTTTTTTTTCCTTTTATCTCAGAGCATGATTCACTGCGCCGCCACTGCGAGCGATTGAATGGGCTCCCTGCAACACCGCGTCGCAACGCACGCAGAACGCGGCGGAAACCGGTCTTTTGATAAAAAATGTTATTTCTAACTTCACCTACCTCCACCATCTGTGTGGGCATCTGCGTCACACAGTAAAAGGTTCAGCGGGGGGGGGGGCAATGAAAGTAAACTATGAAATCTGAAAAGGACCGATTGAATGAACTGGTACTGATTTTAAAATGTATTCATTTATGGACTTTATGCAGCAGAATAAAGGCATGTATTACTGTGAGCAGTGCGAGGCACACGAAGAAAATATATTTCATTAAAGTAGATCTTAAAACAGCAAGAAATGTATACAATTTAGGCATATCAATAGAATTTGTTTTTTAACTAATTAATCAGACATTTTGAAATTCATTAATCTCGATTAATGGCGATAAATTAATGTGGTTACAATGTTGTTTATAATGAATGTTTGTTTTTCTTCTAAATACGAAATAATAAATCTTTAGAGAGTTATTTCAGACACTGTTGTTTAATTGTTAACGTTATTTTAAACACAAAACTACACACATTTGATCATCTTGGAGGCAGAATTCCACCTGGAACTGGCGACTCTTCCTGCTGTCCTCGTGCTCTTTGCTCTCAACTCTCCATAGTTTAACGGCTGTGTTTGAAGTGCCAACAATCTCCCCACATTTAGCCAGAACGTTTTTAAACCACTGCCTTTTAGGGACACAGTGGTGGTCCTCTGCACACAGCATAACATTAGATGTTTGGATGGAATTAGCCTAGCAGCTAGCTTAGCATAGCAGTGCTTTAGGCGGTTTGTCACTCACCCCTCTTCTGTTTGACACGTGGAGTAATTCCTCTGTACAGTTCTCTGCTGTATGTTGCACCGCTGTTTGTTTGACTTCCAATGCAAAGAGCTCTCTCCATCTTGACGTAACTGACTGCAGCTAGCGGCCGTTTCGTTTCCGCGACCAACTTCCGGTTTATTTCCGATCCCGGAAGTAAACCGGAAGTACACAAACGAACGTTAACCGCGTTAAAATATTTTGTTGCATTAATCTAGGCCACATGAATCACATTGATTAATGCGTTAATGTTGAGAGCCCTAATAAAATTACCTAAAAGCAAAGGGATCAGTTACACCCTGTTCTAAATTCAACCCTTGACGTATGCTAAAAGGAACTGTTGCTTTCAGTTCACTCTGCTTCCCATCTCTTCCTGTAGCAAACAAGGGCTGAAAAGAATAAGAATGCAAGCTTATCTGATTACGGGCATTTCTTTGCTGTTTCAGCCCCTGGTTGCCTACAGTGAGCCTTGCCCCTCCTGTGGGCGTGGCCTCACAGTACGACCCCTGTGGCTCTGTGGTCATGTCTGGCATCATGCTTGGATTGTAAACTATAGAGGCAACAGTCACTGACTGCCGGCGTCTGCAGAAACATGTAGGGTTTTAAACTAAATGATTTCATAGTTTAAATTAATTTAAATTCATACTAGGTTTGATATGAATTCCTAAAGAACATAAAGAGAGTTGGTTGTAATAAAGGCGACCTTGGTCGAGATTGTGTTTAATGCGTTTTTGTAGTTACAAGAAAGCTTTTTCTCTCTTGTGACGGAAGGTTCAAGTAGAGGGAAATTATACCCTGTGACTCCTCCGTCTTTGAGCTGTAATTGCAATCAGGTTCGTTGGCAATCACATGCTCTTGTCAAAGTTAAACCTGGAATTAATGTTGCGATAGTGAATTTTTTATGACATTGTCTTTCCCTTACTGCAGCTCATTTGCTTTTTGATTGCACTTTAAATTCCATCACATTCGGTGGCAATACAGTCATTAAATGTCCAGGCCCATGACTCAGACAGCTCATGGAGGGAATCAGAAAATCTCTCAGTTGCAGAAAGACAAAAAGTGAGAAACAATATAATAACTGTATATATACTAAATTCTTCATCTATTGAGTTTAACTTAAATATGAAGCACTTGAGGAAGAGTAATAGAGAAGAGTCCTCCTTCGTTTAACACTCATCAATTCATTTGTTTCTACAAATTAAGAAATACAATATACTTGCTAAGTTGAGCTCTGTGTGTTATGTCTTGTTTGTACAGATCAGCTTATTTTTAATGCCGGTACAACTTCCTGCGTCTCCAAACCGGAGTCCGGTTATCTACGTGTGCCCTATGACTGAGTTTGGAGAAGTAGCTCACGCAACCAATCTACCCCTTTAAAACACGCAACGGGCTGTCGAAAACTGCATGACGTGTCGTCAAGATGTTCGGTGGCTGTCGACACGTCGAAGGAGATGGATTCAGCTGCTTGATAACCGCCGGGAAGTCGGCTCTCACAGCCCGCGGTGCTGTCGAGGAGGTGGAGGAGAGGGGTACGCGGAGGGGGGGCTGAGACAGAAGAGAGAGCTTCAACTAATTAAATGTGCCTTCCTGGTGGAAAAGCTCGGACCGATACCGATGCTGCGGCTGAGAGATGGTTCGGCAGCCAGTGCATGCTGGGTGATTTGGGATGTGGTTTGAGTAATGTCGGCCTTTCCGTGTAACTTTTTAGGGGGGATTATTTGATGCTAAAAAAAGCCTCATAGCCTTTTGTGTGTTTTTAACTGCTGCAGCTTGGGGGGGGTTTGGGGACTTTATCCCTAATTGCTTGTGCAAAATATCTCGCACTGACCTCATACAGACATGTTCCTCTTTCACTGGGCTGAGGTGTGTGTGCCGAGTTTATGTGCATAATGTGTTTAGGCGAGGCTGTGTTTGTGTATTTCTTCTTTTTACCAAGGGGATTTAATGCGTACCTCTCTCTGTTGAACTTTAGCGAATGGAGGACAGCCGGTCGCCTCTGACGGAGATTCCACAAGTGAAGTGTGTCATCCGCACAGGCTGTGACCAGCGCTCCCTGAAGGTGAAAAAAAAATACAAATGAATCGTTAAGCAGACACATAAAACACAGAGCCTTTTTTAACCGACCCAATGTCTGTAGCCCTGGTTAAATATACTGTAAAAAACATGATCCAAAGAGAATACATTGTGAGTTTAGTATAGATGGATGCAGGAACCACAAAGCAGCATCAAAGAAACAGTAAGAAATATAGTGCAGTCCGAGCACCAGAGCTCAAGACAAAAAATACAGTTGAATGTGAATATTGCAGCTTTATACGACATTGTAAAAATGTGCTTCTTCGAAGAGATTTCAAGAGATTTAACAAATCAAAAGAACATCTGGGTTTGATGTTAAATGAACACAGGTCCATTGAACCTGTCTCCTCATAAAGATTGATTTTCCTGTTGGTTGGTGTTAAACAACATTATGGAGTGTGGGACTGAAGGACTACCACGTTGGTCGGCGCTGTCGCCTCACAGCAGAAACAGACCCAGACTCAAACCCCATTGGGCTATTCTGACCCGGGTGCAACCCGCCTTCTCGCAACATCGGCTGGGCTCGACCCCAGAGCGAGAGCCCGATGAGCAGTTACAGATAGCGGACGTCCGACTGTCTCGTTTCAGTGCAGAATGCCTTAGAATCATATAAAATTGGATGAAAACTGTAGAGGACAGTTATTTTTCAAATAATGTCAGCTGGTTTCCTACTTCTGAGGATCGTAATTGCAGTGAAATTGCATCGCTGTAAAGACCGGAGCCCAGAGAAAGTAAGCTTTAGATTACATACTTAATAGTAGGATTAAGGGCGGCACACTGCGAGGGAGGTGGAAAATATTCTTGCCAGGCTTTTCCATATCGGTGAATGTATTTTCCCCAGTCCCTGAATCTCTCAGTCTGTATTGCAAAACTATTTTAAAAAAGATATTTATTTTGCTTTAATATGGTAAATAAAAAGTTAAAAGTAAAATGACTGTAGATACAGAGTAGTAAACTGGGCATTTTGCATGTCCATGTGTGGAGGCAATATCAGAGCTGTCCACTGTTTTTTATGTATAGTAAACACACAATCCTATGTTTTAGGATTAAAAAAGATGTGACATAGACGTCTAACACACGATCCTCCTTTTACCCACAACTAAACGTAAAAGAATATGCTTCAGTTTTTCAGCACTGCTTGTAAATCTCAAATCTGACACTGAACTGATGCTTCTTCATTAAAGCCTGTTTGTAAAGTGAGCCATGAAACCTCGTTCATGAGACAAACATAAATAGGTTTCCTGAATCAATCCAACAGGAAATGAAGAACGTAATCATTTGCAAATTTTCCTCCTACTGCTTCATATTTTGTTTGATGACTCCCTCCACTGATGTAAAAAAAATCGCAGGATTCTCTTTGGCCTCGTAAAGTAATACTGATGGGGGATGCGTTGATGATTACATATTAGCCACAAATTAGAAAATGAGAATGCCCCACACACGCTTAGTCATCCTCTTTTTGTTTTTTCATACACAATTTTAATGAATCTCTTTCATATCTGCACTCTGATATTTGCCTCACACGGTAATTTGAACAATTAAAATCAAATCTACTTTCAAAGTCGATCATTTTGAACATTCTTTCCCGTGCTGACAAGAGTTTGTTTCTGTCAGCTGGAGGAGTGAACGCAGGTGGAGCAGCCAGTCATCAAGAGTCACACCAGACGGGCAGAAAGGACAACGGGAGAGGCCAGCAAGGTGATAGCCAGGTCCACAACTCCATTACAGTATATCTATCCTGATGTGTCGATGTGACAGGTGTTTACTACCTACAGCATGGGTTAAAAAGGACAATAAGACAACAAGAGAAAATTGCATAACCTTCCTTTATATTTCTGGTAAATACCTAAAAAAAAAGAGTTAATATTTCTAACAAATCCGATTTCTTCATAACCAAGTGAACCGTTTCATACTAGTGTACGCTGTGTGGATTTGGTCAATGGGGATATCCATCTGACAATCTTTTAATTAAGAGGCTGTTGAGTGTTCAGTTTTTAAGATAGCGGAGAAGATGTTGTTATCCAATAAAAGACGACATCCATACGTACGGCCATGGGTATTTTGCCCTAAACTGCATCGGACGGGCATAAACTGAACGTGCTTGTGAAGAGGAGACTCATTGGTACACGAAGCCTTTCCTTCTAGAGAGAGGTCAAGGAACATCTGTGAATATGGCCATATCCGTTTTTTTCCCCACATCATTATTCGTGGCCTCCTTCCCAAGAAGTGAGAGCATTTATTTGAATCTTGATGGTACTCTATTGCGTGATCTGTTGTGAACTCTCGGGCAATTATATCCTAATGAAATATAACAACAACAAACCTTGTATAATAATAAGGGAATTTTAGAACACTTTAGAGAACAGAAATCTGTAATGTAAATCCAATCGTCCCACAGGGTTAAACTCTAAGAAAAAAAAAAAATGGGGAAAAATGTGAACTCCATCCATACAAGCAGCCCCCCCCCGCCTACACTGCCACCCCCTCCACTCTCTGACCTCATCTAACACCAATCCACAGCTGCCCCCTCACACTCTTCAGATGTATTATTCATTGAGCAAAATCATGAATTCTGAAGAGGTAAACAAACACATTAATTAGCCTCTTCATTCCCTCAGCACACAACAGTGACACATTATGAGCGGATGACTGAATAATAAAACGATTGACAGCTCTGGAATTTTGAAGCGTGCGACGTGTATCCTGCACACATGCGCAAGCGCTTGGAAGACGTGTCCTCTTAAGTTGGCCCATACATCTTACAGGAACATCTCGTTGCACATCGTTGAATGTCAAGAGGCCGCAGTTAAAATTTGCAAATGAACTATTGGAGAGGCTGAAGACAACCCACGCGCCGAATCCAAAAGAGGGCATTGACCCACATTACTGCCTTTAGTCATTATCAAACAATGAGAAGAGCTTCAGAAGTCACTGTGATTTGCACTTAGACGCACACACACACACACACACACACTGTATGCAGAACCCGAGCTATTTAGTGAAAGAATAAACTCATAGATGCATTTGTAAATACCACAAGAACAAATACACAAACAGAACTAGTCCAACAACAAACTTGTTTTGCAACCCAACAATTAAAAAAGACACATTTAACCCCACACATGGAAGTTCTGATACATAACTGCATTATAAATTACATTACATTATATTCAACACAACAACTCAATCGGGTTTAGTAAAAAAAACAAGGCTGAATTCAATTCCCCCCCCCCCCCCACCCCCCGGAGTTGCAAATGATCAAAGCTTCAGCCGGAAGCTGACGAGGGCGAAGATGAGTCAAGTGCAGCACGTGAGGGACCTCGGTGACCGGGGGAGCACCTCTCTCTGTCATCATTACAGCCGCACAATTCCTCTGTCACACGCTCAGGCTTTCCAAACAAGCGTTTCGTCTCTTTCGGATAAAACTGATTTACGAGCACTATTTTTATGGCCTGGTGAGGAGGCTGCACCACGGCCCGTCTGGACCTCCCGCTTCTCAATGCTCCGTGTGTGCGAGAGCAGACGTACCTCGAAGCCAAGTCTGCAAGTCAAACATACCCCCCCTTGCCCCCCCCTAAAACGTGGCGTCTCTCTGGGCTTTGTGCACCACCTCTGCAGCAGAGCACAACCGCATAACTGGGTTTGATGCGAAGCTTCCGCTATGTGTTTTTTTGGCCCGGAGCCGCGCGTAGTCATAAGCAACGGCGACGTAGGCTGCAGCTTGGCTCGCCTCCATCACTCGGGAGGGCACTCAGACGTTGGCGCCATTCTCGGCTGATGGACAACGCGGCACTCCATCACGGATTAGTTTGTTTCTACAAAGGCAATCGTTTCTTATGTTCTATCATCCCATATATTTTGCTTGTTTTTGTTATTAGTTATTGATACAAAGCGAAAAGCCAAATTCCTGCACAAATGAATAAAATACTAACGTTTTTAAGTGTAGCATGCATGCTCACGACCAAATACACAGTGTTACTCGATCACATCTGGGTGCTCAAATGTATTATTAGACCCACACACACACACACACATAAAGTCAATACCTGTCATACCAGGACACACACACCCCTGTTCATCATCCACCTCCATTTACCTCATACACATCACGAGCGAGCCAATGAGCGAAGGAGAAGTGGGCTGAAAGAGCCAGTGGGCTTGAAAAGGAATAGAGTGGGAAGAGGAAGGGAAAAAAAGCTGAGAGAGGCAGGACGAGTGCGTAGATTTGGAGAGAATGAAGGAGGGACGAGAAAAAGAAACACAACAAGAGACCGCTTTGTGAACCTGCTTTTTAACGTACAAAAAAAGCCCTTTTTGTGACTAATACACCTACAGCGTTTTGTTCTTAAACAAAATATGGCAGCGAGAAAGCTGCTGTTAAAGTCCTGAGTAGTGACGCAGAGCTCTGCCATGTGTCAACCCACACAGAACCGGTCTGTCAGCAGACAAACGTGAAGTGAGGAAAAATAGTTTTAAAGGCACAGAGGAAAATTTTTCCTGAAAGTCATGATTATATGATGCTTTAACTTGAAAATATACTATTATAGTGGTTTGGCTCCGGTTGTTCTCTTCCAACAGACTAACCTTAACTTGACCAGCCTTCTGGTTTATTATACAGAACTATCTGAGAGGCCATGATTGGGATCTGGTTTGTAAAGAGCAGGAACTTTTTGTTTTGAACAAACAAACAAAGTCTGCACTACTAGATGGAAGTTTGACTGTCAGTTATGAATTAAATGTCAGTTCCTCAAGCTATTAACAGAACTCATTTAAACTCATATTAATGTCATTGTTTTCTTATTTCAATGTGGTGTTATTATCATGAAAATAAAAATATATTTTTATGCATTTACAAATTAGCAGGAGCCAAAAAGACTGTATGTCAGGAATCAATAAAGAGGAAGGTGTCATGTGCCTTCTAATAAATGCAGCATATTTCAGAGATTAAGAGCAAAAAAGGCTCCGGTGATCATTTGACAAGACCAATTAAAATATCCTAAAACCTATTTGCCAAACAAATATTGTACGACACTAATACTAAATCAGGTATTTGAACTCCACTGTCAAGCAGAAACGGTAAAACAAAAGACAAACAAATCACACCACTGAGTTGGATAACATAGTGACTTCCAATACACTGTTGAAATGAAGATCCCCCACAAAAGCAGCTTTAAAACCCGCAGCTGTACCAAAGCATTGTAAAGTAGTTTGGATTACCTCATTGATGAGAAACTGTAGCTGAAGAACTGCTGCCCCGCTCTCGTGCTGACAGTAGCAGTCCACACCGGGTCGTCCCAGTCTGATGACATCACAAAGTCAAGGAAACGTGCAGACGGAGACTCAACACAAAAAAGTGGAAGGCGTTAAAGTATATTGGTAAAGTGCACATCATTATCGTACAACCCACAATAGCTCCTGACTTCACCCTTGTCAGTTTATCCTTGTCACTCAAGTATGTATAACATAACACCGCACACATCAACACTGATAGATGGCAATTTAAAAAGTGTTCAAGTTTATTAATGCACTCAACAGGAAATTAACTCTTCTTTAACATTGTTCCAATGCTAAAGAAGAGTTAATTTACTGAACGTGACTCTATTAGATAAGAGGTACCAGAGCAGAAAATAAAAATAAAAATCCTCAAGCACGTCTTTCAAAGCAGGTGGAAATCAGCATGAGGGGGACGAGCCAGATGGAATCGGTGCTGGAGCAGTTATTTAACATAATTCAGAATGTTGCCAACATTGCTCGAGGTAGTAGAGCACAGAGATACATATTACCAGCTCTGCAGTGATGTATCTAGCAATTCATTTACATTACTCATTATCTTTCTGTCTGTCGACTCAAATAAACACAGTTTAGACATTCAAGTCCTGATTCTGCGGCAGCATGAAGTAAAAGCAAGTAATTGGATACAATGGTATGCAATTAGCAAATGCTAATGGAAATAATCCTTTGTCCTATTCAACAATCAGGGGGAGGCGCTTTTGCAGTCTTCAATTTCCTCAGTATTTGATGAATTAGAAAGTTTTTGTGTCATATGATTGCGTGCACGCATAGTGGTCCAATACAGTACTCAGCATGCAGCTACATGTTGCACTAGCCTTGTCCCTCCAGGGATTTCTGTCCCCCTCAATTAGCGTCAATGCTAACCTACAAACAGCTCAGGGCAAAGGGATTGTGTAGCATTTATGAGCCACATATTTCAGTTCAGTTTTCCAACACTAGTATAAACAAAAGGCAGGGCCCATAATTTTATTCAATTTCAAATGCGTGTGATGGCTAATTCATCTTTTGAGGTCAGAGTAACAATTGTCCATCAAAGTAATATTAGTTTATCCTTGAATGCAGTTGGTCATTATGCCTTCCAGCATTGAGAATATTATTTCTGAACATGGTTATTTGTTCCATATCTGAAAAGGTCATGTGGTAATTTAATATACGCACCTCGTTTGGATTCCATACAAACAACACCAGCTGTGTTAAGACATGTTTTACCTACCTACCCTTACCTTGCAGATATGATAGAGAACTCAATCAGGCTGCCAGCAGATTGATAGCATGCAGAGTGAGCGCACCTCATTTCAGTTCCACAACGTACACTCCGAAGCCAGCGAGACGGAAACATCCAGCCCGTCTTGCTGGGCTGACCGATCGTATCTACAGCCGGAGCAGCCAGGCGCTGTGATACGGGGAATTGTTGAACCAGGCCGCAGAGCTCAGGTGCACTGGGGAGGAAAGACTCGGGACAGCTGAGTGGCCTGAAGCAAAAGTTCAAATTTCACTCGTAGAATAACTTTTATTTCACCGAGGACTTCTTCTGTGTGCTTTGTACTAAATGCAATGCATGCAATATAAATACATGGAGAGCTGACGCTGCATATGGTTGTAGATTATATATCCACAATGTGGTGCTTGAAATAACAATTACTGTTATCTTTATAATTCTTTTTCAAAATACAGAAAATCTGTTTTGGGAATACTTTCTAATATTCTTATATTATTAAGATTAATATATATATATATATATATATATATATATATATATATATATATATATATATATATATATAAATATATATTTTAGGGCCCACTGCAACCCCCACTTTGTTACCTCAGTAATACATTTGAACCAGATGGCTAAGAATCTCTATTGAAATTTAAAAAAATACAGAATAGGGTTGGTTAGCCACCATGACACACACATGTTAACAAAGATTATGCATATTTGCAATTGGTTTGGGAATAAAGAAATATTTTGTCTGGTCCACCCACCCATTTGGAAAATAAATCTCACCAACATGCTTCACAGTGAAATGGTGATGGGCTACAGGGACACACAATTGTTGCTGAGATATCAAGCAATGGTGTCTCTATTCATTTTGAGAGTAATTATTATGGTTCAAAGAGACATCAAACAGGAATGTTCTTATAGATGTTCCAGCCTGTCCGTCTCTTTTTGTCACACAAATCCAAATTGACTGAGCTTCATCAGTTGAGGAAAAAAAGGAAAAAAAAAATCAAACACAGAATACTCCCGCTTACTTGGAGGGGAGAGACCTTTTGTCCTCTTGCGCTCTCGCCGAGCACCACATAACGAAAAATCGTTTCCGCTGAGCACAAGGAACTGGCCTGTCCACTTAGTCAAGCTGTCTGTGTGTGTTTTTTCCCTTGAATGCCCACACAGTGGGTGACTTCCAGTATGAAAGGCTTGAATAAAAACGAGTCAATATTGAGAATTTGAGTCATGGCTGTCAGCGTGGGTGCTACCGACCCTTCTAAAGTCCATGGCCTCAAAGGTATGAATGTGTGCAAAGAAAGGGACTTTTTAAAGAGCTTTAAACGTTGAATTTAAACTGTTACCAGCATCGAAATGTCTGCTGTTGCATTTTTGGATGTGAAAATTGATATTCCAAAGGGCAGAGTTCCACAGTATTCCACCCACCCAACAAGTCCCATACGTTAACTGCAGACTTTTAGCTTAATGCTATCATTGTTGCTTGTGGTAGTGCACAAAATGGCTGTTTTTTTTTCACGTTCTGGTTAACACTTAAACAGCCAAATGTTACTGCATAATACGCTGTAATAGCTTCCTGGTTGTTATCCGCGTTTTCATGGAAGGAAACATACTGGTTGCCTCTGGAAACCTGTGATCGGCACATCAGCACTGGGGCCGTAGGACCAAATAAAATGAAATCTAATTCACCGAGTCCAGTCAATCGAGAAAACTGCACGGACGGGGTGTGTGGGTCCGTGATTCAAGGGCTGACTCGAAAGGGAATGGATGGCGACAGACTCAAATCATCTCTCTGTCAGTCTGGATCCTTCTCTCCCCGACCAGCGTCTTTGTACACATCCCATTTAAATTCACATCACACTCGGGGCCGCTTCAAAGCGCGAAAGGAGCCGTCAAAGCAAAAAAGCTGATGTGAAGGTGAGGTCGCCTACATTCAAAACTGTATCGCTGCTAACAGACAACGATGCCGAAAGGATTTTAAAAAAACACTGTTTCTGCATTTAAACTGACAGAAAAGAAATGTTTATTGTCATGAAATTAAAACACATGTTTGGCCGGGCTGATGCAAGCAAACTAGAGCCTTGTTTCCTCAAAATGCGTTAAAGGTAACCAAGCTGCTAAAGCTTCTTAAAATCCAGATTTGTTGGTATCCAACTTCTCCACCCTGTTGCAGATGAACAACCAATTCGTTTCAACCGTGAATCAAGATTTTTACACAAAAGGCTCCAACCAAGACTACGTATTTATCTCGGCTGGGAATATAAACACATCAAGTGTGCAACACAGGAAACAATGGCACAGTGTTTCTGTTTGTTGAGGATGGCGGCGTGCAAAGAAAAGTGCGGAGGAGACGGAGAGGAGTATTGCATCGCTGTAAGGTGGACTGAAATTACCCGTGCTTTAATAACTTACATTGACATTTAAGGCCAAATTGCAATGGTGAGGAAAAGGCCAATCGGCTACTTTTAGATGTCTCTCATCTACGTGGTGTTTGATGAACAAACAGCCTGACAAAGAGCTTTGCACGATCTTCTTGTCAAGCGTGAGGATAAAGCAAAAATCGGACTCCGTGCAACACTAAAGGTCTTTGTTTATCTGCAAGCGTTCTTTGTTCTCTGCGCCAATGCCTCGGTATTCTTGTTCATACTTTCACTGACTCTTGAAATATTCTCCCTCTATCCTCTGAAGCCTTTGAACTTGTTTGACTGCAACATTACGCCAAGCTCCTTTTGGCATGATTGTCTTTCCAGTCATGTACCACTGCTGGGTATAAACACGTGCTTCTTTATTCACAAAACAAAACCTTTCCCAGTTGCTCTGCAATGCTAAATTAAAACAGTAGGTCTTTTTCTGCTGTGAGCAGGCTTGGGACCTTTTCGCTGCTTACCTGCTCAACATCAAATAGAACCTCTGTAGCTCACTCAATGATCTCAAAAATCTAGATTTCGCGTGCATACGGGTCATTCTTTTGCATCATCATCACTGCCCGGTGGTTTGTTGTGAGACACTTTTAATTTGAACGTGAAGTAAACACCATGCTATGAACACTACGCTTTCTTTCATTGCTGCAATGTGAAACACTATATGTTGCACGGGGGGGTTCAACTCAAATTCAGCGAGGTTCAGTTCAAGATCATTTCCTCAAGCAAAGGTCTGCAACATCACAACGGTGTCTAACGTGCAATGATGATGATGATGATGATGCAAAAAGCAAGCACACCTCTGCCTAGGCATATAAATAAAAACACTTATTAAGTGAAGTCATTAAGGGAACAACAACCCATCTCCTTTACCATTTAATTACTGTCGAGGGACTAACTAACTGAATCTGATTAAATGTGTGAATAACATGGCAGAGACATCGGACAAATTAGATAGATAGATAGATAGATACTTTATTGATTTATTGATTAATTAACAATAATTAAGTAGATAAGTTACAATTTGGATAGTGCTGATTTGTCATAAAAAAGGTAATCAGAGACACAATATAAATGACAAACAATGCTCTGTCTTTGCGGCGGAACCGTGTATCCAGTGGTGTCTAATCCGCCGTGTGCGGTTTCCTTTCAGTCTCCGGCGACTGAATCGCAGACTGTGACAGACGTGTCTGCAGTCACCGCACATTTCCATCCTGCTCGGTCACCTACGCTCAATGTGCATGTTGTATTTTATAAACAAAGCGCACGATGCCACTATGTATGGTGTATATGTGTGGTGTCTGTAGCAATGTGCATCATTTGTAATAAGGAAACATGTCAGATGATAGGAACACACAA